GAGCTTGTTGTTGTGGAGGAACATGTGTGTTATGTATGCAGAAAAGTGCCACACACAGTGGCTTTTTAATGACAGAGAGCTGAGAGTTGTCCCTGCACAACATAAACTTAAACCCACATCAGTTGGGTTGGGTGTTTTTTGGGGAAAAAAGGCTCCATCTGGCTGGTTTTCTTAACAAGTAGGCTGAATTGACCTGCTTCTCCTGCGTGTAATTCACTCTAGACTTATAATAGGTGGCCCCATACAACCCTCACAAATAACTAAACTTTCCCTTTAGAGGCCCTGCTGAAAAACTCTTCTGCAGCAGTTTACACGTGAGCCTGAAGCTCCAAAAAGTGAAAGAAGAAAAAGCTGAAAACCATGAAGACAAAATTCTGCAAGTGAGCCAATTGAGGTAATAGTAAAATTGTGACAATTTGCCATGGTTACTGGAAAAGTTATCCCAATCCTTTGCCTGCAAACATACCAGCAACCTTTGGACCACATCTCTTAGCAACAGTCTCCACACAAACTACTTCTTGAACAACAGCCGCCGCCGCTGCCGCCACTGCTGCTGGAGTCATTATTGTGTCCACTTGACGCCGTGAGATGCCGAGCTGCTGGCAGACACTCGACCTGACACAGATTGTTGCGGCATACTTATAACTTTGTGTTTGTCAACTGTCAGCAACTTGCATGACGTCTCAAAGTCTGAACCAGACAGCGCTACATAATTATTGTGTGTTCCCCGGTACGTCACCCAGCTCTCCAGGAGAAATGAGCTCGGTCAGCCTCACTGACTCCCATCACACATACAGTTCCTTCTCATCTCACACTCCAAAAGAAATGTGTGTGTTTGTGTGTATACGTGCTTGTGCTTCAACCTTTTTATACAGCAGATAGGAAGGGCAGGCAGGAGGGAATGGTACAATACTTTTGTTTACAACACTGGCAACAGTCAAAGTGTGTATTGGTCTCTCCTACACTCCATTTCTGAGTGTGTGTGTGGATGTCAAACTAGACAAACCAAGCATTTATTCCCTGTAGCAGGAGTGTGTGTCATATCCAGGTGAGTGTGACAGATCGGGGGCTTCACTACAGTGACAGGGGAGCCGAGGCCATCGCGCTTGCATTATTCATGAGAGCTGGGGATGTCTGGTTGGCACAGCACAGATAGCACAGCAGCAGAATAATGGGATGCTGCAGCTCACTGCTGTGTCATCAGCATCACAGTCTTACAGCAGCACCTAGTGCTCACTGTATGAAAAGTAAGTGGCTGGATGTACAACCTTGCATTCATGTTTTTTTTTCTTCTTATCTCAACTGTGCATTTAGTCTATGGAGGGAAAAAGTAACCCCATATCTAACATATTCCTCTGTTGCATTTACAGTTATACAAGAAAATAACGTCAAACATAATGTAGGCCTTTCTTAAATCATCCCTACACCCTTTTTGTACAAACTTCCACAGTTTCAAGGGTCCATCATTTTTTTTTTATATTCCAAAACCCCAAATATGAAATGAGGATGGGTTTAATGGGTTTTTATTCTTACTGACTGACAATATGCAAAGTTGGGTTGTAGAACAAGAGTCATGAGAAACAGCTGATGATACTTTTCTTTCTTTGCACAAAAACCTGACATTTTCTTTGTCTTCAAAAGTTCCTGCAAAGCAAAATCATCAGCCGGTTGCTAAACACTGTATTTGTAAAAGACAGAACTTCTTGGCACTGAAATATGTGGCATTCTTATAACTGTGGGAAACCTCACCCTCTTTTATCAACTACGAACCACAGGATCTATGAACTATTCTAGTTACTAGAACCCAAACTGGATGAACCATTACCCTCCCAGCACAAGAGGGACTTTGAGTAATGCAACTGTATGTCGAATGGTCCAACACTAGAACAAAGAAAATGCCACCAAACACCATTGTTGAATCCCACTGTAAATGTAAGCCAAATAACGGTAAATAACTGTAAAAGCTCTTAAAGTAATTAGAAATGCAGAGAAACTCCAGCTTATAGACCAACAACTATGTCCAGGTTTTTCTGAGTGCAGAGGAGATACAGCGCGATCATGACTCGACTATCTACAGCAGCAGGTATCCATCATACAGGGAAGCAGTGTGACAGAAAACTAGTATGTGTTAATGGACGCTGTCCTCAGCCACAGACTGGTATATGCTGGTAGTACTGGCACAAATAACTCAACACTCAGAGTTTTAGAGGCTATCTTTAGAAACAGTGCTGAGAGCTGCAGTCTGCCTCTAAACGTCTCTGCACAGGGTTAGTAGCGTTCTCCAAATTTTGTATGTTGCAAAGGTGATGTTGCTCAAGCAACTTCATGGTTCATAGCCACAATTATTGGGGTTCAAATGCAGATGGAGAAAAAGTCCCTGCTGTATGCAGCCATCAAGAAACTCCCAAGTTAACAGTTCCTCTTTACAAAGTCCCTGAACTGTTGAGTTCAAATATGGAATTAGCCTTTAAAAAGTGTTTCTTCACATTTAGCTTCAGGGCAAATTGGAGGGATCAATGACACACTGAGGTTACTGAGCGTAACCTCACCCCTGTACTATGATGATATGAAAGCACTGAGATATCTTAAAATCTCTGATATTCCTGTTCAGTTACAGCCTCAAGTTTTTCTAGAAAGTCCTGCCTTTGGTCCACAAGTGAATGCCAGAATGTGCTGTTTTTTTTAGCTTGTTTAGCTTTGTCAGTGTTGCCTGACCTTTTTCAGCCAAGATGTATTTGCAGAGTCAGAGATATACAGAGATCTGTAAGTCCAGTTTCAAGATTGCAAATACACACACAAGCGTCACCGCACAGACACACAGCAAACAAGGGTTCAAGCCAAAAAGGTTCATAACTTCCAGACTGGTCTCATGCTCCTGTTCCCTCCCAAACACTCCACATCACCACTAAAACGCTCTGCTAAAACACATGCAGGGGAGAACTTCTGGCAGCACTCAAAGTATATTCATGTTCTTTTACTCATTACTTTCCCAAAAGTAAATTCCCAAGTAAAAACTCAACAAGGAAACAAACACAGAAGGGAGGTAGGCCTACCAATGCAAAAGTGTGGAGAGTAGCATTTAAGGCTAAAAAGAGCTGATTTACTTCTCTTGATGAAGGTGAGGGTTCAGTCAGGGGAAGCAGTCTAAAAACTTACTGAGTGAAAGTCCAAAAACACTCAAGAAAAAAAAAAAAAAGAAACTGAAGCTCGCTGCAAATATAAAAAGAAACAGTGCAGATAAAAATAAAAATAAAAAGCTACAACGAGGTTAACAACGCAAAAATAAAGTGGTGATGCAAAATGTTTAAAAAAATTACTTACTAGGAATAAAAGGATGCAAATTAATTATTTTCGCAGGGTAACTTTTTTTTTGCATCACCACTTTTTTTTGTGTCGTTAACTTCCGTTGTGGCTTTTTTTTTATCTGCACGTTTCTTTTTATTTGCAGCGGGCTTCAGTTTCTTTTTTTCTTTTTTTTGCATTGTTATCTTCCGTTGTGGCTTCTTTTTTTGCATTCTTTTTTATTTGCAACAGTGGCGGTTCTCGACCACCATACCCAGAGTTTGCCCACTGATTAGAGCGCCTGCTAAGTTGATACGGCCAACTAAGATAAATCGTTTTAGCGCGACTTCATGTGGCCGTTTCTGTTCTGTTTATGTCACTTTGAGTTATGTAGTCAGGTTTTCTTACATGTTATGCTTTGCGAGATTCATTTGTTGCTGAAGAGTGATATTTTGTAGTGGAGTTTCTATTAATACGATTTTAACGTTAGAAATATTACCACCATTTCAACGTTTAGAGGGTGTGACTGAGCGGCGTCCTTACTGACCGCGGGTCGCGCATGGACACGTACACGCCAAACATTTCACTACCCGCCAGCGTCGCTAATTACCCACTAAACATGGACACTTTTCCTTCTACCTTCTCTGTTGGATAGAGTAACCAAAGGTGCACACTTTGAGCTCTATCGGCTAACTTAAACACACAGACATTCATCCCTCCACTCACTTACCGGACGTCCATTCACACCATCGTGCCGGATCATGTTTCCAAATAAGGAAACAGAGCGCGTGATTTCCGGGTGTAAAATAGATGGGTATGGCGGGTCAAAGTGGTCACATGATGCAAGAAAAATTAATTCCCTTGTTTACCTTGAATCCCTAAAAATTAATGCTCCATTGATTTGTGTAAAATTTAGCGAGAAAGGCAAAAACTTACAGAAAAAGGTCTGAAGGTTAAAAATGATAAAAATGGTTTAAATGTGAATAAATGAGTTTGTTTTTTCCAAACGTATGTAATTAATAACGCCCACTGGGAGGGGCTAGAGGGATTTAAAATAAAGGCTTCCTGGGCCTGAGAAGTTATTCGGTTCTGTACGTTCACTTAAAAGATTTGGTTCTTTTGAACGAATCGTTCATGAACGACACAACACTAAACTGTTTATTTTGACATACAAATGTTGTGTAAATTTATCTTTGACATATACAGTTGTCTGGTGTACATGTGTATTATTTTGTTCTGTGTTTTTGTTTCTAGTTGTTTTTTGTTGTTGTTGTTGTTGTTGTTGTTGTTGTTGTTGTTGTTCTTAAAGTTTGAGATAAGGAAAGAAGAAAAAAAGAAAGACCTGTTGAGGGCCAACCTTCAATTTTGTAAATTTCAGATTTACTCCCATTAATTACTATTCATTCGCGTAAATTCCAATATATTCTCATTAATTCCAATGAAAAGTTTCAAAATTTGAAAATTCCCGGAATTTTGCAACCCTTATTACAGAGTAAATTCACTTAAAGGTGGCGGAATTGAGCTCTAACGACAGGCCGCGTGGTTTACCTTAGAGTCGAGTTATTTCCGACGGTCTTTGAAAGCAGCATCATTTCTTCAAACCTGTTGCTTCATCGGAGGAACGCCCCCTCCTCCTCCTCGTCTCTCCCCGTGTATTTGAGCTGAATCTCGGCCACTGCTCTCCCACACCACTCGCTGCTACCACTCAACGCAGGAACATGGCTGCTCACCGGGTGATCGTGTACGGAGGGAAAGGCGCTCTGGGCTCCAAGTGTGTCCAACATTTCAAATCTAACGGCTGGGTGAGTGTTGACAGTTACACTCGCCATGCTAACACTGTGTTATGCTAGCTGAATGCGAAGCTAACTGTCATTTTTGTGTCCTTTTAATGAATGAAAAGTGGGTCGCAAACATTGACATGGTTCCGAACGAAGAGGCAAATGAAAATGTGATTGTGAAGATGAGTGAGTCTTTCGCCGAGCAGGCTGGACAGGTGAGTTCAGGTTTATTTTTTGGTAATATTTTGAATGAAATGTCTCATGAAGCTTTAATCTAACAGCCAGTAAACAGCAGTACAGCTGCTGGTGTCAACTGCTAAATCTGACATTACGAGGGAAATTCGCATAAATCCAATGTTGTTTAATTGAATGTTTTATTGAAGCGCTTTGCTAGTATACAGTTTATATATGCTCATGATGCGTTCAAGGTAAATTGAGGAGAAAAGGGGGAAAGGCTGTTTTTCTTTAATCTTTTCTCTCTTATACTCCTGATTTACTGTCCTTTTAGCCTGTGTCTTACTTATCTGTTCTTATTTAACCTTTTAGGTCTTTTTATTGATTTTTTTTTCTTTCCTGCTCATTTTGTTATTCCATTTTATCATCAATATTACCATCATTATGATTTTTATTATGATTATCAATATCTTCTTTTTATATTTATATTTGTTTCCTGCTCTCTACCCCCATCTTTATTACATTTCTTTTACTTGCCTGTTTTATGTTTTTATTTTGGTCCTCATGGTCTCATTTTATGTTTTTCGGTTCTTGTATTGTCTGGGTTTCTTATGACAAATGAAATTAGCCTTCAATTCGGAGGCCTTGTTTTTAACTGAGCTTTTGTTTTTTTGTTTTTTTATTATTTGTTGTTGTTTCCATGTGCTTGATCATCAAACAATGAGCGTGGTCCAGACCTGCTCTTGTTCCTTGAAAAGCGTCTTGAGATGACGACTGTTGTGAATTGGCGCTATATAAATAAAATTTGATTGATTGATTGATGTGCTGATGCTTTGCGACTGTTTGACAAAGCACTTTGTAAACTTCTGTTTTTAAAAGTGCTATAAAAATAAAGTTATTATTATTTTTATAAAGTTATTATTCTGCAAGCGTTTCTGTTGAAGTGGTCTGTGAACCCAACACAGATTACTTTGAAGATATCTGTGCTATGTTGTGTGCTAATAACACAATGTGATGACTATAACATTATGAAAGAAATGTAAAGATATAGCTAACTCTAATGTGATAAAGATGAAGCTTTAAAACCAGAATTTCTGGTGTTGGAAGGTATTTTAAAGTTGGTAAATGTTGTGTAGTGGTTAAATGAAAATGCAATAATATAATAAAGGATTATTTAGATGACAGAAAATGACACACAACACTGATAACATAACACTTTAAAGTACAGTACAGCAGGAGAGACAGAAGTGTAACCTGGACAGCACACCCAAGGACAAAAACAATTAATTTAATTCAGTTTATTTTTATCTAAGTATTTGTTAGAAAATGAACCATCTTGTTTTCTGTATCTGTATCCACTGCATTTCATTAATGACAATAAAGTTTAATCTAATGTAATCTGTAGCCTCCCTGATGTATTTCTGGTGGTCTCCAATCAGATGAAAGCTTTGCGTTTCTCTTTTCTGAAATAAAACTTAAACATGATTAAACTGATTTTGTTTGCTGACCTGAATGCAACATAAAAGACGTCACAGATATTAACAGCTTGTTGACATTTGAGTGCGTCAGCCCCGTGGCTTTATTAAAAGGTGTAAGCAGTTATCTCTTCCTCTGTGCAGGTGACGACAGATGTGGCTCAGTTGCTAGGGGAACAGAAAGTGGATGCCATCTTGTGCGTGGCGGGAGGATGGGCGGGAGGAAGCTGCAGCTCCAAAGGTCAGAGTTGAACCCGTTGTTTGCTGCAACATCAGTCATCAGTGGTTTATTACATGCTCTGAAAATCTACCCAATAAACTGTTTATACAATATTTACATGTATGTAGTCAGCAGATATGAAGTCATGAGTGTCCTTATAGAGCATTATTGAGTTTTACAGGTTTTATTGGTCTGAGTTGTAAAGGTTTTCTGTTTGATCATATCATTTAATGCGTTTATCTCATGGTTACCTGATATTTAAAGGACGACAGACATTTTCCGCCTGATTATAACCAAATCTGATCCTGTGCTCGGCTAATCAAAGCTTAATTGTTTCTGTTCGCTCTGCCCTTTCAAGGACCTTTTGGAGGCGTAGTTTAACGTTATGTAGCTCTTTGATACTTTGATGATAACCAACCTTTTCTTTACGGTTGGGGTTAGGGACTGATAAATATGAGATAAGTGATTGATATCTCTACCTTGTTCTGATTTAAATATCTCCATAGGTTAACACCCCTGTTTTTAAAGAGATTTCAGTGTGAGTGCAGCTCCTTCTAATGATTGAAGACCCTCTGAGGTGACGAACCAGAGCATGTAGTTGACGCCATATACAAGATGTTAAAAATCATATCTAAAACAAGAATTATGATGACATTACATTTCCAATTACAACAAACACAAATAAAGGCAAAGTTAAATGTACAAGTAAGCGAACCGTAATAAAACACCATAGTCGTCGATCTTTCCTGTCTTGAATTTCCTCAGAGGTTTATTTTGCATAACAAAACGATACTTTTTACAAATAATAATGATGAAATCGAGACCCGATGTAAACACAATCGTAAACCCACAGCTGCACTAATTACCCACGAAGAACCCGCAGGTCTCACATTACATGTCTCCTCCAATAGGAGAGCTGCAGTAGTAATCGGGTTCAATTAAACTTTAAAGTAAAACTATATCATCAGGATAAATAACAAAAATTATTAATTATCTGTCAAATTATCAGTAGTGCACAATTGGCTCTAACATAACCTGCCCCTAATTGATGAGGTTAACTTTATATCAATGACCAAAATATAAACATAAAGCCATTTTTTTTTCTTTTTCTTAATAAAAAATAAAAAATAAATCTCTCTCTCCTTTTTTTCTTATATGATTCTAAACAGAAAAGTGTCTAAGATTCTGTGTAAAACAAATGCATAAAGCACCTTTAAGTTTGTGTTTTGTTGTTGTTTGTGTTGTTTTTTGTAAAGATTATGAAATAGATTTTAATAGTGCTTCCTTTGGTTATTAATTACCGTTATTATCGTTTGCAGATTTATTTAAAAACACAGATTTGATGTGGAAGCAGAGCGTGTGGACCTCCACTATCTCCAGCCGCCTCGCAGCTCTGCACCTCAAACCAGGAGGACTGTTGACTTTGGCCGGAGCTAAAGCAGCTCTGTCAGGCACCGGAGGTAAAGACACACATTTGATGTTTGCCGTTCTCATCATGATGACCTGGGTTAGCCTGGTGTCACGTCTGGCTTTCAGGCGGACTTTGACGTGCATCGGAGACTTCATTGTGCAGATGTCTTTGTTGTCAGACCTGCCAATTCAAATACCATAGGTAATAGGAGGCACTGCAGGGATTTGAGGAAGGAATTGACAAACTGATCAGAGACACGACTCACAACAGTCTGAGGGGAAAGGTGTCAATAAAATGGATTAAAGAGACAAAACAAGAGAGACAAAAAAAAAAGAGAAAAGCTGATGAGTCTCGTTGAAGCAGCAGGGGTTATCCGCTCGAATATTTTGTCAAATAAGAAGCCAGTGATTCGAATCTGACAACAGCTTGTTGTTTCAACAATGGCAGACTTTGCTCTCCTGGTGTCCTTGAGCCTTTGACTTAACTGTGACCTGATTTCTGACTTTAACCTCAAACGCTGGATCGTGGTTAAAATTTGACTAAATGGTATTGATTAAAACAGGAAGCATTACACAAAATGAAACAAAATCAAACGAAAAAATCAGAAGGTGAAGGATAAATACCAGACTGCCTAAGCAAAAACAGAAATTAGATATGATTAGGGTCTTGTGAGTAATTTAGATACTGATTATGCTGTTAAGCTATTTAAATTTTTAAATTTTACTGCGTTTCTGGTCAATTTGAATCAAAATGACAGAGTTACAAAAAAACAATAATTGCCAGGTAGACACATAAATGTTCTGCAGTCTTACAGACTAGAATTATTTATCCTTGTCAGAGATAAAATCTTGATATCTTCAGGTTTTAAACTTATAATTTCACAAAGCTTGTCTTTTCACCGCTGAATAGATCTAATAAACTGTAACTCACATTTTTGACATTTCAAACTGTTGTAGAGAAATCGTTTCAGTCTTATTTAACTAGAGACATGTTGGCCCCTGGTAGGATCAGTCCATTAATGTCCACTGTTACCTCAGTCACCACCTAAATTGATAATGGGGTGCAATAGTTTCTTGATAATTAGACAAAGAAAATAAGGATAGGAGGTCTTATTCCAGCTCCCCTCAACTGTGAATATTCTAGCTGCTTTTCTTTTTTATAACAGTAGACTGAGCGAGACTAAAACTAAATGTTTCACACGGTCCTGCAGAGAAAGACGGTAATTAGAGGTCATGCGGTGCACCAAACCAGCTGAGAGTCTTACTAACTCAAATCTGTTCAAAAATAAAACCAAGAGTCGGGAAATCTTAGATTTTTCCAAAGCAAGGAATTCCTTCTCCGTCTTTTCAGAAAGCATGGTAACAAAAAATAGAGTTTAGACCACACAGGACCACATGTTGTGTTCATAAAGGCTGTGGTCTGATGCTGTGTCCCTTCCCCCTAAAGTGACCATGTGATGGGCTAAGATCCAGCTACAGCACTTGAAAGTCCTCGCTCAGCACTCTTCTTATTGGCTCCTGGATTAGGAGGAGAATGACTCAGCATTTATGGCTCTGCTCACAGTATCCACATGGACCTGTGTGTGTAAACCGCTCTGGTACAGTTTAGAATCTACTGTTCTCTTTTTATATGCCTTTTATGCAGGACTTTTACACTGACTTATGTAAATATAGATTTTAAAGCACTGATAAAAAAGTAAAATTAACATTTTTATTCAAAAGTGCGTCTGTGAAAACTATATGTGAGCCAATTTCATCTGAAGTACATCCCTATATATTATCTGCAAATGACATTTCACTTAACAGTCTAAGAAAGAGTTGTCAAACCACGTGAATAATCCTGACCCCTGATGTTAAACAGACTCCTAACCCCACAGAGAGTGTCGCTCTGGTCTTCCCTGTGATCACCATGTGATTTGTATTTTCTTTGTTCAGTAATCCTCAAACTGATTATTGAGTAACTGGGTATTGTGACTCTGCAGCTGTCATTGGAAACACAGCGGATGAATTAGGATCTTTTGTTTAATCTATTTAGCTTTCTCTGATCAAATCTCTTCTTCCTCGAGAGTTTGTTGCAGCAGCTGTTACTGCATTCAAAATAGTTACAGCACTGATTCCAACTGAGTTCTTAAAAATGATTTACACTCACAAAATCTCTGTTTTTCTACTGTAGAGAAGAGATCATCTTAAAGTTTTGTCATGAATCGCTTAAGCTTTGATTTGTCTTTGTTTGACTTGCTGACTCGGTTCTTAAATGTCTACAACTTCTGGTGCTTCATGTTCTTCAGCGTATTTTCATATTGACAGCAGTTTCTTGGGTCTCTGATAAAAACCTGTTTTGTTAAAACTCAAGGACCTTTTTCTTCTTCTCAGAATATACTTGATGTTACTCTCCTCTGAAACTAGAAAACATCCATACAGGTGTCAGCATTTTTACTCTCTCCACAGCTTGGTGTAGCTGCATTTGTTCTTCTCTCTGACCTGTTGCATTAGAGTGTATAGGTTAAATAATAAGTACAAAAGAAATCAACTTTTGTAGGTTCATGTACAGGATAAAAAAGGCCCATCATCCAACAGGTGATGTGTTCACATCTCTTGAGTTGTTCAAAGTTATTTATTATCATTTCCACTTAAAAACAGTATGTCCATAGTGTCCGTAGATTCATCCGTGAATGGATGACACTGCTTCTGTCCGAGGCAGGTCTTTGCAGACTAATAGAAACTAAAAAATCTACTTGTAGCTCTGACGCAGGGGCTAAATATTTCTGATAAATAGTGACTGTATCAGAACAAATTCATCACTTTCAGGCAGGTTTTTTGTGTGCGGAGATGTGGACCTGTTGACAAGAACTTAAGAGCTGAACTGTTGTGGATCCGTTCAGTTTTGCTGCATCATTTACCTGCAGTCTCTCCTAACTTTATCTCTGTGTCGATCAGCCGTGACTGCTCACACTCTCGCTTTCATGCTTGCAGTAGCAGGAGGTGGAAAATCTGAGCGTTGATCTTTTTCACAGGCTTTGATGCTTTTCAGCACCACTGAATGTAAAAATAATGGATATTTTATCACTTCAAACATTAAAAATTGTAAGTGCCAATAACTTCAACAATCCTGTTCGACAGTGGACTTTTCTTATGATAGGAGAGTTTACTTTATTTCAGCCTCTTATAGCTAATTGACCGCAGCCAAGCCTGTAAATCTAAGTGGGGATAAACAACTCCTTAATTAATTACTTTATATGCTGTTCGCCTATGAAGGCACACAAAGAAAGCCCATGATAATTAGTCGATCAAATTGGTGCACTTTGGCTGTTAGACGGTATAAACATGTGACTGATCACCCCTCACTCATGCTTTCCTTTCATTTCTCCTAAAGAGGAAAAACAAAAGCTTGTATAAAAAGCCATGTCACCACCCCGTGTTCCTATTGGTCAGATCCCTGTAAGCCTGTCATAAGGTTGGTTTAGTACAGGGGGCAGATGCTTAGCATTCTTTGGAAAGCACATTAAGATGGTTTTTAAGGGCGAATGGTGCTTACTGTTTCCAGATGCTAGTGAAGCTTCAAAACAAAGCAAGGAGTGATGTGAAGCTGGATTCATGTGGAAATTTTAAAAAGAGACAAAACAGCACCATACTTTATAAAAGCACAAACTTGAGCATTCGTGGGAAGAATCTGGGTGCAGTTTACCGCCTGTGTCTGTTTATAAAGTTTTCTAGATGTCCCCTCCTTCCACAGATTCTTCGATGTCTTTCCACTTGACCCCTCTCGACTAAATCAGTGTCCTCTGCTCCTGGGCACAGCATGTGGTGCATTTGATGTGGTCTCATGTTATCTTTGCAGACTGAATCTTTTTCCTCCAGGACGCCAATAGAAATATTTCTCTGTAAACTGCAGGGATGGTTGGATACGGCATGGCCAAAGCTGCTGTCCACCAGCTGTGTCAGAGTCTTGCAGCAAAGAACAGTGGGATGCCATCGGGAGCTGCCGCTGTGGCCATACTACCGTGAGTGCTGCACTGAAAGTTTGTGTGCACTGGGGGTCACGGGGGAGTTGCACAGCAATCACAGGTCAGGACTTTTTAAATTGTTAGTGCACCAAAAATCTCTCTGGAGTATCAAGTAGCCTCTGCCTGTGGCTCTGAGAGGAGAGTCTGAAAAGTTTGTGTTGCTGCTGTCAGTAAGTTACAGTCTGACTGAATCTAAACTCCTTAATCCACACATGATGCACTTGCTCTGACTTGTGTGGGTAGATCACTCCAAAAATGTTCTCCATCTATTTTAGGGATGGAGAGAACAACTATGAACCTTTTTCACCGAAACCAGCATTTATTTACAAACTCCAGCTGAAAGAAAAACTGCTGCTACAGTGGATGAATAACTGATTTCACCAAATGTAGCACCAAATTCATGTTCTTATAAAATTCTTTAATATGGATCAGTCTGTGCTGAGGAATTAAAAACTTATTTTACTAGGGCTCAAACCAATATCACGATATATTGAGCAGTTCACCTCAATAACAATAAATGCTGCTCACCCCGCCCCCCACATTAACTTCGTCTACTTCAGCTGCTACAACTTTTGAACTGTCCTCCATCTCCTCACCTGTCTTTCCCTCTTTGTTACGGACTGGATGGGGTGGAGTGATGACTCTGATGTAGGACAGCGTCTTAAAGGGACATGAGACCATAGCCTACCTACACACATGCAAAACCAACTTTTATTTATTTTTTTGAAACACCAAATATACTGATATGGGCAAAATGACGTTGGTTATTGTCGTAAATTTGGGTATCTGTAAAGTTTCGGTTTATCGCCCAGCCCTATATTCAACAAACCTTATTAGACTAAGCAGTTCTGTCATTTTAGGGCCTATGTCCACTAACAGCATCTTTGCATCTGCAGCAACCACAACCTCTATTTCAGGCTCTTTTTAGCGCTCATTGTGTCTAGATTACAAAAATTGTCCTGCAGCACTTTTGGCCTTTTTATTTCTTGGAAATTTTAAGCAGAAAATGTAGATTAAATTCACAAAAATCATGTTTCAGTATTAGACCTAGGAAATTGGATTCAGTTAGTTTCTTCTTCGCACAGACCTCCACAATAATTGTTGAAAAAGTTGACATCAGAAGTTCACCTCCTTCTTGATGTTGATTGGTCAAGAATGGAGAGTTAACGTAGGCAGGTGTGGTGGTGTCCCAAAACTCAAAGGACTGGAAAAAGTTTGATGTGAAGGGCTCCAAAAGCAAAAGAAATACCACAACAGCATTTGATTGCATTGGATTTAAATTGATATAACGTGACACAATACTGAATAGATGAAATAACTACAAGCACATCTCCTGAAAACCATGAAACCCACTCATAAAGGCATGCTGGACAGAACCAGCGTCCTTCCTTTAGCCGCGCTATAAAGGTGGGTTGCTTTTTCTAAACGTCGCACACTGAAGGGTAAATTGATTTTAGTGTGTCATACCCTGTACGGCTGTGAAAAGCGGAGAGAATTATGGATACTGCACTTTGTATTAAATTCTTCGTTCATTTCGAGTCGTCGCCTCTTCACAGTGTTTATCAGCCTTGCAGTTTGGGCCTTGAGCTGACACTATAAGTTGGAATACCTGAACAGAAGAAAAACACTTAAGCAGACAGCCTTGTAAAACTTTCAGCAAAACTAACATAAAGAAAAGACTTTCTCTGCACTTTATTGGTCAGTCTTATTTGATAACAGGCAGCTGGTAAGCCGTGTGTAGCATGTTCATGCGCACCGAAGCCTGGAAAGTCTGCAGTGCTTTATGAAAGAGAGATGAGAGCTGTGTTCTTGCCGGTTCCCCATACTAATTTTTTATTTTTTTTTTCAAGATTTCTTTGGTAATTGCTGGAGTCTACATCCAGAATCTGAATCTTAACCACGTACAGGTTTTAGGTGTAATAATCTCAGATATCTTGCACAGTGTAGCTTCGAATTCACCAACAATACAAGCAACCAGTCAAAGGAAAGACGATAAAGTCACTGTACTGTAAAATTAGCTCTGCTTCAGACCTTTTTTCCTGTTGATTAATGGGCGCCTGTGAAAGATAACCTGCAGGAAAAAGAGAGATAAGGCTGGTCGCAGATCTCTGGTTGCACACATGATCTGTTTCAGATGAATCATGCACACAGTACCCTTTGCATGGTCGCCCCCCCTCCCCTCTCTGTTTTGTCATTGAATTTTAAAACCTGTTTTTGCACTGTCACCCTGAGAAGCTCGAAAAGGCATTTTCAGGGGTGTATCCCCCTCCTGCTCTCTCTTTGGCTGTATTTTTCATGAAAATGAAGCTGCTCGGAGTCTGCCTCTCCAGCATGCTGTCACATCTGTTCAGCATTAGCCCCATGACTTGCATTTCTGTTCCAGTCTGCATCCCCCCAACCCCTCAGTGCTGCTGTAGCCTCATTTACCAACACAGAAGAGCAGCTGTGGACACAATATAGAGAGTTTTCTGCAGACTACAGGTAATGGTAAAGCATCAGGATGATGAGAAGGAGCTTTTTCTTAATATATGCACAATAAGAGAATTCTCATAAAAGGTATCTTGAACTGAAATAGAAAGGAAAATGACTTTTTAAAAGACGCTCAAGTGCGTTTTGAGTGAGAAGTTTTGGTTGTTTTGAAGCAAATACACAGGGTCAAACAGTGTGTCAGTATCAGCACGCTTATATTAAAGGTTCTACATGTAATTGTTTGGATAAAACATGAATTTTTGAATATGAAAAAAGCAGAAACATGAGGCAGAGAGCTCCAGAATCACACACCACAGTAAAGCCTCTGCTCTCTGTTTGTTCTGTATGTGTGCAGACGCTGCAATCTCCCTTCCCTGCTCTTTCTCCTCTCTCTGCCTCTTTAATGCCACAGCTCTCCCCTGATTGTCATCTGACTTAATTTGACAGGGTTACCTTGGATACGCCAATGAACAGGAAGTTCATGCCTGACGCAGATTTCGGCTCCTGGACGCCGCTGGAGTACATCGCAGAGTGAGTGCTGAGGAGAATGTTGATTTTATTCTGTGATTTACGGGCAGTGGATCACTCTGATCACATTTATATTTTACGTTTGTCTGTTTTCATCAATAACTTGCACCAAATTCATACTAACAACAACACTTTTTCAGCTCTTCAGTTGCATTTAAACTGAAGCTGCACCCGCTGTCCATGGTCATGAAAAAGAGCACTAATTACAATAAAGTGCTGTAAATATAGAATATGACAGGTTGCATATTACTCTATTTGCAGCATGTTTTTGCACAACTCCTGTAGTATGCTCCAAATGAATCAATAAATGAGAACCTTAAAAGAGCTTTTGTTCTTTGCATATCTTTTTACTTTATCTCAGTAAATTTAGATTGTTCTTTTTTTTTAATGCACATTGCAAAACGATCTATCTGTGATCAGTTGTTCAGCTCCAATTTACTTTTCTAATTTACGGATTTCATAATTGTCACTTTTTCTCGACCCTCCACAAGCAGCCTTTTACAAAATGTCCTGCAGTGATCTTTATAATGCCTATCTTTATAATCAGGTGCAGGTATTTGTAGGGCATAGCTTAAAATTGCGATTCAGAAGATTTTTTTTTTTTCCCCACATGTAATGTCTTTTTTATTTTATATTTACACAATAGATTACAGTGCAGTTTAGCAACATTCATTGTTAATGCTTGGTCACAAATGCAGATCAGGTTTGTGATGTTTCATCAGTTTCTATTCATCCACACTCTCCGAACAGACACACAGAATGACAGATGGAGTCTGTGTTTCTAAGTGTATACCTAATGTTGTGTTTTTGATGTAGCAGAGTAACAACTCTGATTTTTTTGCAAAAATACAAAAGCAAGTAATGAAAAAAAAATCCCATTAAATCAGTTTTCAGACATTCTTAGGTATGAAGGAAGTCGAGGGGAGACGAGAGTTTGATCTAAATCTGTTTGAGTTTGACTGACTCTCTGAATATTTATGAAATCTGGGACGAGAATGAAGTACCTGGACTTTGTCCCTTCATTTCATTAAAATTTTGGCAAGTTCAAGTAATTACCAAATTGGATGTGATGATCGGTACTTTGGAAACTGTGCTTGGTTTGACAGCAGAACTGCCTCTTATTGGTGTTCACTCAGCATGTAGGCCGGGATAGATTAGATGGGATTTGATCCGGTTTGATAATCCCCGAGGAAACAGATGAGGGTCTGAGGACAGAAATAGAAATAATCTGAACAGCAGGGAATAAAGCAGCTGCATTGTCTCTTATAGTTTGTTTTTCTATGGCCTCTGTTAGAGTTTATCCACAACACCTGGACGTGGTTGATAAGTGAAGACTGGGAAGCTGTTTTAAATATATGCTGTGTAATAAAAGCGCAGGTAGATGCAGATGACACTGAAAGTTATGTTGCCGTGTTAAAATCCACTTTGATGAGAGGTGTCAAGTTTTTAAGCAATGCAAATATTTCTTCTGTTTCTTCGTCTTTCTACAGAATGTTCTACAACTGGGCCACCGGGTCGAACCGGCCAGCCTCAGGAAGCCTGATGCAGCTGCTGACCTCCGGCGGGGAAACCCAAGCTGTGCCCACAGAGTAGAAGACAGTGAGGAAACGGTGATGTGGAGTTCGGTGGGGAAGAGAGAGCGAGAGAGATAGAGAGGGAGAGAGATGAGAGGAAGGAGCCCAAAGATAAACTGTTTGACAGAGGAGGAAGAGGAGGAGGTGAGGAAGAGCTTAGAGTGACAGGAGGAGTGATGAAGAGGGTGGCAGGTGCAGAGGTGAGGGGAGATGGTGACCAAGAAAAACTGATAAAATCAAAAGAAGGAGGGGGAGAGGGGCTGTCTAAATAAATGCAGCTCTAGAGCGCCATCAAGCTGTAAATGATCGTCATTATGCCAAAAGTCAATCAGATCATCTTAAATCTCAGAAATGACCAGTTTACATTCATCACTTTAGAATAATAATTTTGAAGTCTTCTCCAAAAGTATTCTTCCAAATATCAGTGAAGTGTTTAAACTGAAATCTTTTCTATCAATGGCAGTGTTATTACAATAATAATGTTTAAAGATAATGAAACTAAAAATACTGTCAGCATGTTTCCCCCCTCATAAGGATCTCATAAATCCACATCTGTAGCCTCATATAAACATACATTAGATCCATTCATTTTCAGTGTCGGTCCTGTGTCGTGCGTGTCAGCTGTAGAGATTTTATTGTTGTAGGTTCCTCTAAATCTCTGGGTCACAAAGTCAAAGACAGCCGCTGTCATTTCTCACACGGACAATACGCTCTCAAGTGAAGTGGCCTTATTTTATGTGTGTCGCCGTCGAGTCCAAGTGCCCTTGTAGTCTGTCGTGTAAGGGAGGTGCTCTGTTCCCATTGTGAGTTTTATAAGTCCTGTATTGTAACTGTGTCCAATTCACAATAAACCAAGTATGATAATGAGTAGATTGGAGATTCAGAGTTCATTCCTGACCTTTACTTCCACACATCCCGAATGATCCTGCCCCACCTTGTAGATTTTAGAAAATATTAATAGACTTTTATTGTCAAATTCTGTCTGATAAAAATGAAGAGCATGAATGCCTCACTTTACATGATTGAAACTGTTTTTTTTATTTGTGAGTACTATACAAGTTGTACTAGAAACAGTACCCCTAAACGTGTTTATTCCTATGACATGGTTATAATGTTGATTATAAACATGTATTACATTAATTATTTCGGCTGAAAAGCTGACATGTTCTTTCAGCTGCTTATTTAAAATAATGTCTGATTTTGGCTCAGCTAATCATAACGGTTAACCCATTATTTAAACTCAAGAAGGCAATTTGTATACGTCCAAGATGGCTGCTGCAGAAAAGGAACACTTTGGAGGTTTAAAGTGAGTCTGCAATGAAGCGATTGTCAAAGCAACTGAAAGGTTCGTGACCCTGTTCCTGATGGTGAGTATTTATTGACCTCTGCATGATTTTTCACTTTATTTCAAGAACAATTGGTAGCTAGAGACGTAGTTAACTAGCTAGAGGGAATATTAATTACAGGTTGACTAATATTGTTATTTGAGGACCAATACCCATTCTGAAAAAAAGACATCTGCAATCATTTACATTTACAAGGAATATTGTGTCAATATTCAGAATTAGGATTACCAGAGACTCAAACATAGAACTCTTTTAAAATGTCTTTAACAAATATTTAATCAAAACTGAAACTTAAACTTCAACATACAGGAGTAAGCAGTTAACCAATTACACTTAACAGTACAATTCAGTCACATTTAGACAATCACAGTCCTATCAGTGATGAACAGACACACCTGCAGCAGAGCCAAAGTGGTTAACTGACCATCTGTAAAGCAAAATGCTGATATAGATAATCATCCAAAAGCCAAATATCAGCAAGAACACCAGAGTAGACCAGAATTACCCAGAATGAGCCTTCAGGAGCAGCCCCCCTCACAAGGAGGCAGTCATATTGCACTGCCATGTTTCTACCACAACACAAGACGGACGAAGAAGTATCACATATATTTGTATTTGACGAAAGGCTGTTGGAAATCCACCATCTGGAAGACAAAGAGGAAGAAAGTGGCCGCTGTGCACAAAATAATTTGTACTAAAACACATTTTTGACAGTTAAATCTGAAAAAAGGAGAATCACACTTCTCAAGCATCTCAAATATTTAATCAAAACTGAAACTTAAACTTCAACATACAGGGGTAAGCAGTTAACCAGTTACACTTAGCATTATACGAAAGTCACAACTGGACAATCACAGTCCTACCAGTGATGAACAGACACACCTGCAGCAGAGCCAAAGTAGTTTATTTTACTGGCCATCTGTAAAGCAAAATGCTGATATAGATCATCATCCAAAAGCCAAGTATCAGCCCTGATAACTGGCTGAGGTTGATAAGCAGTCCACCCCTGATGTAAGTGGAGAAATATCGCTGCATGATCAAAGTCTTATTATGCAGTCCTTTCATAACATTTCAATGAAAAACAAAAGACTTGGTTATCTTGTCCCTGAATATTTGCATGTAGATTCAACGTTTGTAAATTTGGGCCTAGAGGCAGAAAAGGGGTCCTCTTATAAAAGTAAAGATGATATCTTGGCGAATGTTACTCTCTTAGGACTATTTTTTGGGGGGGGACAGACTTACTTCTGGACTAATGCACATTTAATGGACCAGTTTCTCAAGCGAATGAACTCCTATGAACCTAAGAAGAACTATTTGGCCAGAATGACCGGTCGTTAAATACTGAAAAGCTTCCCCCCTCTATAATACAAACCACTAGATGGTGCTCTCGGATCAGAGTTGATTTGCTGCGCTTCCATCCTCTGTTTTTTCACAGCAAGTCATTAGAACCTGAATGTTCACTGTCATGCATTTACTGCATAAAATAACTTACAGAAGTGCCCTTTAATTTCCCCTCTCCTGCACTGGAGTGACTGCAGAACATCCAGGTTGTTCACCTTGGAAAATGCAAATCTCCACATGTGGGGAGACATCAATCTGAAAGCTGGATTATGACGAATAGATTATCCTCCAGCCCCGTTCCTCTTTGCACAAAGTGTTGTTGTTGCTCAGCCAAACCATATATCTAGTTTCAGCGTGGACCAGAATGCACATAAATAGACTATATAGGCCTGCTGCCGGGCTCTGGTCTTAAACTTCACTATTTCTCTCGGCCTGGCTGCAGCTCTTGGGACTATATGGCTGTTGACAAGCACACTGCAATAAATCACCATGCTGAGGATTAATAGGAAAGAGCAAAGCGGCCCAGCTCACTGTAGCTGATATGTATTTATTCTATGTGGCGTTGCAATTCATCTCACTGTGTGTACGCTTCTGTGTGTACGAGTGTGTGCGTTTGCATGTGTGTGAAGGCCCGAGGCGAATGCAACACGTCTATGCATACATTACCTCCCACGATGCCAGCACTATAGAGTGATTGCCCATGGGGATGGAGTCAATGTTTATCACAGAGAGCGTTTCAGCTGATCAAAGATTACCGCTGAGACCGAGTGTGTTGTTCCTGTTTCAGCTGGGCCAGATAAGTTGTCACCCAGCGCCACAGATGCTCTTGTTTTGTGCAATGTGAATCTATGAGGAGCAAATTATTTGTGTGTCACAGGTGCGGCGGTGTGGGCCCGGGAGAATTTATCCGTGGGACTCCTGTGTTGGAGCCGCAGCAGTCTTTGTCTCATCTGAAGAGTCTGATGGTGAGTATGTAAATACATCAAGGTGACTTATGTAATTCAAGAACAGCTGATTCACACGGCTGAACAAAGAGGGGAGTCACACGAGGTCAACAGGAACATTAAAGCTCCTGTGACAGTTGTTTAGGTAGTCATGAAATCAACTCAAATTAGGAATGGGGCCTCTTTATGACCCTTAAAAGCAAACAGGACCATCAGTGGTAATATTTTCACCTTGTAAATGGTTATTTTTTATGTCTATTACAATGCTTTTGTGTTGGTGTAAGAAGAAGGCGTTTTCTAATTTCCACGAGTGATGTGATCGACTGCAAAAAGAAAGCAGGATGAGATATCTCTTTGGAAAACAGCTCTTACCGTATTTTTCGCACTATAAGGTGCTCTTAAAATCCTTTTGGCTTGTCGGAGCACTGCAGCTACCGTAGCCTCGCAGAGTTATTGAATGAGTTAAATAAAGTTTGACTTATCTGACTTTTGTTTGGCGTAATGCGCTTTATAATCTGGTGCGCTTTATGTATGAAAATAGACGCGAATAGACACGTTCATCGACGGTGCGCCTTATGGACAGTACTTTAGGGGAAATTGGCAATTGCGTGTGAAGCACTTTGTCCACAGAGGGCGCCAAAATCAATACTAAGACTGTCACAATCTCAGAATTTCAAGAAATAGTATGTGGCCCTCAGTGTAAATCACCACTTCTACAATCTCACAGTATCAATATTTATTTCATTTAATGAAAGATTTAAAAAAAATAGTTTTCAATTCACACAAATTGAGACATCTCTTATTGATACAAGAGTATGAACTGGTACTTTTTGTCTTTATACACCTTGTTGCATGATAATAATCAATAACTGACTGAAAATGGTCAATAATGAACACCAATGCTTTTTTTTGGGCTAAGGATGTTAATCATAAATGACAATGTCCAAAACCTCAAAAAAAGAAAACTTTTGGGTGTGTCACTTCAAAAAAACTTGAAAAATATGTTGAAGTAAATATCCACAAACCAATTCAGCAGGCCTACAAAGCCACAAAAAGTCCCGACACTGAAATAAACACATTTAATAATTATTCAATTAAGATAAGAGGGGTCTAAAGAATTTGTGCTCACGGTGTAAAAAGTCCTTGTCCTTCCAGTCCTTGACTATTGTCAGTGCAGAGATGTTGGTGAAACAGTTACTACTGTTTTAATATTTGCAGTATGCGCACTTCTTATTTTGACCACTCATGTCACCTTGACCTCATCTCATCTCAGCCCGTGCACTTTTTATGTGACATGTCTTGCATGCCGTCTTTTTCTGTCCTCCTTACCTGCAATTTCTTTACAAGAATCAAAAACCCAAACATGCTTATTTTGTGTGTACGTCTGTGTGTGTATATCTACAACTGTTCAATGATAAAAGAAAAGAAAACATACTTTCCAGAACTGATGCAACAGTCTTGCAACTCCAGTATTAGCATAACGCAGTGCTGCGCAGGGATCTGCATTATATTCAGCAGGACAAAGTTCAACCTCATGTATTAAATGGACAAAAGAACAATTTAAATCAGTCTCATCTTTTATCAAAGTTTACCCACCAATCAACAGATTTATTCAAGTATCGCTAACAATCCTTAAAGGTTTACACTTGAATATGTTCCCCTTATGTCTTTTGTTTCTCATCTCGCTGCATCAAAACGATCAATCTTAAATCTGACTTTTGCGACAGAAGCAGATCTCTCCTGAAAACATTCTCTATGTATGCCGTTAAAACTTCAATCAAGTTATCTTTTCTCTCACCACAGTCAAAGTTTAAAGGGTTTTATTTTCCTTTAGACTACGGCTTTTAATTTTCTTGAGGGTACATTCCCAAAATGATCTAATCCAAAGTTTAGACACCTTTCCTTGTGTTTTGTTTAAAATGAACATATTTGACATTTCATTTTTCCCCTAATATTGATTAACATTTTCACAAGCTCCCCTTTCCATTTCAGTTTCGCTGTCCCAGCCCCAGATTATTTTAAGAAAGGAGCTGCGTATCCGACCTGACTCTGGTCCTAGAAAACCAGAGGAGTTGTCCTAATTAGCCTGTAATGGCAGGTGGCATCTTCAGCTCTCTAATGTGTTGCCCGAGTATCAGACCTGAAAACTTAATGAATGAGTTACTAGAGTATAAAAACTACAGTGTAATAACCTCAGTGTAAAAATGTAACATTGCATGATAAAAATACTCAAAATCTCAAGTACTTAAAGCACATTGAAGAACACCAGAGTAGACCAGAATTACCCAGAATATAGAATAAGTATCACTTGTGTTTTTGTATTTAGTGAAAGGCTGTTGGAAATCCACCATCTGGAAGACAAAGAGGAAGAAAGTGGTCGTTGTGCACAAAATAATTTGTACTAAAAGACATTTTTGACGGTTAAAACTGATAAAAGGAGAGTGACACTTCTCATGCATCTCAGGAATTTTTCAATCTAAAAGCTGAACTCCGGATCCGGCTAAGTATTCCAACTTCTACACTCTGCACCTTCAATACAGAAAAACAGCCTTTGTGAGTTTGTCTTTTGACTATTTTTGGGTCACTGATAAGTTTGGCAAGTTTATTTACTCAGCAGAGTTCGAACAATCAAACAAAAATCCCTGAAAATAGTTGGAGAGTTTTGCCAAAATACAAGAAAAACAAAAACCACAAAAGTAAATCAGATGTGTTTTCGCCTTAAGACGGGTCAGCGGTTCATGGAAAACTGGAAATTATGAAATTTTTAAAAACAAGAAAGCCGGATTGTTTTTCTCTACCGTTTTTGTATATCATGTTTTGATAAATACCATGTTTTTATATCTTACTTTGGTTTGACTTAATGTGTCTGATGAATTAATACTCATTGGCTTGATACACTTTCGTGTGTTGCTGCATTTTTTGTTGTAAATTTTTAAGGTGGAACTGATTTGAATTGTTTATTTGCAACGGATTGTCATATTTTATAAAGTTAATGTGGGAAGAAAAAGCTAACTGTACCTCTCTGAAATATCTGGCTGTTGTGGCAGCAAATACAAGAGCCGTTTCAGTAACAGAAATTGCAATAAAGAACAGAACAGTCTTGGAGTGAATGAATTTAGTTTCTTACCACTGCAAGGAAAAAAGGCTGCAGAGGTTTTACTCTTGGTGCTCGATCTCTAAAGTGATCTTTGTGCCAGTAAACCACAAAGTCAGTTTTTATCATAATTTGAGGTCAAACAAGCTCATGACCTCCTGCATATCATCCTCTCTCACACATTTCTGTTCCTTAATGTATCTTTTCTTTTCTTCTCGTTTTTCTGTAAGGTATGTTTAATTGCACGTGCGAACACACTGTCTGCATACGAGGAAAAAAAACAAGAAACTCCAGCCTTCTATTTGTGTTGATTGTGTCTAATTAGAGATAGTAGTTTTCATTCTCAGACTCTGCTGGATGTTTTGGGCATGCTGCGTATGAACCCATATAATAGATTACAGTGCACACAGAGAGCCTGTGATAGCATTTGTTTTATTGACAGTGGATTGAGGCTTTCAGCGCGGGCTGTCTCAGTGATTCATTGTGTGAAGCAGGGAGAAGAGCAGCGTCCAGTCCTGCTTACATGAAACCCCTGGAGGTGAATTTCCTGATTAAAGCCCCCCCCCTCGCCCCCACCCGCTTCTCAATCCCCCACCCTCCCCACCCCCACCCCATCCCCCCTCTCCTGCCCGCTCGAAAACCCCCTCTAGTTGTGTGAGCGGATGTGCGTGTGCGCTTGAGCTTGCATGCGTGTTTTTGCAGAAGCGTGCAGGGTTTTGTGTGTCTGCTGCTTTTTTTGTGTTGTGTGTGCACAGGTGAATGAATGTGTATGTGCGCAATTTGTGTATATATGGGTGCATTTGTTCTGTTCCTGTGTGCACATGTTGTAGATGTGCAACATGCATGCATTCATTAATGTTTATGCAGATATGAATAAGAGCATTTTTGGAAGAATCTAAACATTTTCTTGATTTTAAAGGTTTAGATTTTGCAATTTTGTCACATTTTTATGAATTTTCCGACCCATGTAGTTTATTGTTCTGTTTGCATGACTAAAAAAAGTCTTGATGCAGATTTTGCATGCTTAATTGCTTATCCTCTGTGCAGATTAATTTGCACAAACACACATATTATTCCTGCATGTATTAAAGGTGCACCGAGTGTATGCATCACTCTTACATATGTGTATTTTTGTGTGTTGTAGAGGTTACGTCGAGATGGAGGGGCACCATGTGGAAACCATTGTGATCCTGAGCGTCAGTGAACATAGAAGGTGAGGCCAGATGGTAGTGGTTAGCCCTTGGCTGCTCCGGGTAACCTGACCTGCAGGGGAGGACCCCTCTGCCTCCTGAGGACCAGCCGCCACATGTGTTGCGTGAGAGTAAGTCACCCAAAACCCAAAGAAACCGCCTCTCGGCTTCCTGGCTGCCTGCCCTCAGAGCCGGGGCTGTTTTTCTAACCGAGGATCTAAAACAACAAACTAGAAGCAGGATCAGACAGGAACAGTTCAGAGACAGGATCATGGAGGATCCTGAGGTCTATGAAGGTGTTATTAACTCTCTGATTCCTGTGTTTATCCTGCAGCAGCACTCTGTACCGCACTCGGTATTAAAGAATATCCTTGTTAGATTTGCAGCAGGAGAGCCTTTCCTTCTCCAAACATAAAACTATAAAGTCCAATTCTGTTCAAGTGCTTTTATCTTACACTTAATAAATCTATAACATAAAAAAACACTGACATTTACATTTCTCCTTAAGCTTTCTGATGTAAGCAATATGTTAACCTTCAAATCTGTTTCCTGCAGTAGATAAGGGAACCAGCTGTAAAACATAAACCACCCAAAATTGGTGTTCTATGACAAAATACGCAGCTAAAGGGTTGTTTAAAAGTAAATGTATTTGAAATTATAGGCTTGTATAATTCATGAACGTGATCTTTTATAACTGGAAGAAGCACTGTTTCTTTAATACACCAAACCTCTTCATTTTGCGGTAGATTTAACAAATACAGCACTTTAAAAAATGACACATGGAAACAGAGCGAAGTAACCGCGCAGTTTTATACTATCACCTTAAAGGACGGGAAGTTATAATCTATTTAAATACAACAAACCAGAGTAATTACAGGGGTTGCCTGTAGGCTGAATTACAAATGTGCTACTTTTATGCGATAAGACGCTCCAACTGTATATTCAAATACTATTTTATGCATGTATTAAAAGAGCAGTGTAAACAAAAGCCTGTGCAGGAGAGGCTGGAAACTTCAGAGATAAACAGGAGAAAAGTAGGAATCTGTTATACTCCTATAGTGTATGTAATAATCAAAGATATGGAGCACCAGTTAATGTCAGGTGCTTTCAGGTACAGAGGTTAAGATCGTCACTGCAGGTGGCTCAGGTTCATACATCAGTCCTGTGGCCCCTTTTTCTCCATGTCCTTCACTCCTCTCTCTCCTCTCAGTTTCCTTATACTGTACGCTGCCCCAGTCTTTGAAAACATGCTTGAAAAAAAGCCCCAAAAATATCTTTAAAAAGTAAAATAACCAATTTGGAGCTTTAACGTGTATTTTCCTACACTTAGATTTGGCACAAAATTCTCCTCCAGGTATTTTCTCAAACACACATTTTCAGCTGTGGATGATTTTTAACCAAAAATTTCAACATTTCCTGTTATAACACTAAAACAACATGTTATTGCTCTACCTAATGGTTGAAAAGAGTTCAACATTTTTTAGATTTGCTTTCTGGAAAGGCAGCGCATCTCTCTACTCCTGTGTTTATATCCGTGCATATCAAATAGACATTGAACCTCCAGCCTTTAGCTGATATACACTGAGCAGCCATGACATTATGAACGTGAACCAGATAATCTAATGCCGCCCAATACTATGGTTCTACCTTCAACACTTTTCTGAAGCCTCTTCAAAGTCAGTTGTTGTTGACATGATCAGACGGGTGATTATTGATCTTTGAATTAGTTGTTGAAGTTGTAGTGAGTGTTGGTGTCGTACTGGAGAGCTATAAACCCACTGCATCGGTTTAACCTTTAATTAGAGGTAACAACGCTTACATGTGACGTTCCTGTCAAATAAACTGATAGATAAATAAACAAATATATTGAAAGCTGTTCCTAATATTTTGCTCCTCTCATAGGGACAAAATATTAGGAACAGCCTTCAATACAACACATGCCAGTATGCTTCCACAAACCATAACGTCTTCAATAATAAAATACAATAACCAAGTGTCTGATCATGTCGACCAAAACTAAAAATATAGAAACCTTAAGAAGGTAGAATTTGTGGTAGAGCTGTTGTATTGTATTCCATTTGATTGATTAGGTGTTCCTAATATTATGACGATAAATGGAAAAACAGATAAAAACAGTTTCTATGTGCAGCATGCGGATTGATTAAAATTCCCATTGCAGCTTTGAAACTATATGTATAAAAAAAGATAATCTACTTCTTTAATTAAGCCACAATTAGTAGAAATAAAAATCAGTGGAAAGCTGCAGCTCTAACTTTACTTTAAAACTTTGCTATTCCTGAATATACGATAAAATCTTTGATGAAATGTTTCCGATGTCTGTGTTTGCCTTTTTCGATCCATATATCGATTTTTTTTAACTCTGTGTATCATATTTCACACAACTGCAAAGTCAATATAAACCAAAATAAACAAAGAAAGGTCACATCAATTTAAAGCAGGAAAACACCAGAGGCAGGATTGGAAACAGACAAAGACAAAAACAACTCTACCTTAAGATATACCAACGAATACTAAGGGTTAAAACAGACTAATACATGTAATAAGACAGATAAATTATTTCCAATTAAAAGCCAGATCATAAATGTTAGTTTTGAGCTTTCTTCTATTTGTCTCTCTTCTCTGTAGAGGCATAAAAAATGTAGGATCATGCAGGCTATCCAAACACTCATAATAAGCTGTGATGCTCATAATGAAGACTAATGTTGCTTTCTTTGTTTAAACCGCCGCTTCAGCTGTACCAGCCTCGGTCTCTAGATGGCACTAAGTCATAGCTGTAAATAAGTGAGGTCTGTGAGAGCAAAATTAAAATTTGAGTGATACGTTTTTGATTTAATTAAACACCCCTCAAGCCAGAAACTCTCCGCTCAGGGTCGACGTGAGAGATGGAGAATTTCTCTTCAAATAGGCAACATCAGGTCCAGTGTCTCTCAAGATCAAGGCGGCTCGAGATGATACTCAACATCTGCTCAGAGAGAGGTGAGCCACTGTTTGAAAAAAAGTCCACGTCAATGAATAAATGATGGGCTGATGAGGACCTGCTCCACATATTCATCCGATGCGCACAAATCGCTGCAATCACTTAAATGAGGGGGAAAAACTGCAGGTAAAAGTGAAAAAGTGAGAAGTTTGGAGTCATCCTGTTGCTGAAATCTGACTGCATGCACAAACAGGCAGTAAGATGTCTTTGTGGTGTTATGATTTGTGATTACACTGGAGTTATGTAGGAACATGTTCTACCAGCCTGACAGAGCGTCACAGTGACAGAAACAACAGACTGACAGCGATGTCTGGCTGCGCGTCTACTTTTTTCCCCTCACACCCGCATTATTTATACATATTACTGTTTCCTGTCAAATCTGGTGTGCGCAGGAAAGTTTTACTGTTGTCTCATTTGAAATAACTTACTGTGTGTTCAAGGAAACTTCATCATTTCTTCATGATGCAGAAACTTATCCTCAGAGAACAAAAAATGCAGCAACCTGGCGTTAATTTTGATACATGCATGAACTCGGTTTTAACATGTTTAAGGCTCTGAAAGTTGCACCATTTGTAAGCTATCCTGTTGGCTTTAGACGGCACATATCTCGTCGTTGAGTTGCAACAGTTAATCCTGATTGATAGCATTTAAAAACTCCATTATTCTGCATTTCAAAACATTACCAAGTCCACATTAACACGGTAAAGCAATTCTAACCAGTGTTCTAGGGATCAGATTCATGCAGTCAGGGCTATATTGAACTTCTATTGTTTGTTTTTAATTAGCATTTTTCTGAAATTACATGGAATTACAGAGACAATAAAACTATGTGGGAAAAAGAAAATCACACTGATGTGGAATCTTATGAATTATATAATATACAGATACATTATTATATAGTGGAGAAGATACAGTATAATTGGTGTATGAACTGCAACCAATTAGCCCAAACTCATGGGGCTGAGTACAGCTGTGTGCACAGATATATGGACTTATGTGTCCATGTACAACCACGAATAACAGATAAACACTAAAAAGTCACATTGACACAGATAATAAACGGTAACTTTTGATTGACTAATAGATTTACTGACTCATCCTTGCAGTTTTAATATTATTTACCCTTCAAATTATGCCATCAGCCCTCCCACATACACACACATACACGCTGCACCGGCGCACGAGTTGTCATGCAAGGTGACGACCCTGCAGTGAGGAGTAATTTAGGGCTCAGTGTCTCCCCCAAGGACTCTTTGTGCTCATGACAGCGAGGTGATCAAACCAGCAAACATGCACTAGAATGAGCTCACAGCCACAACAAGAGTATTCAATATCTTTTCAAATGCTGAGTAACATTTAAAGACTATTGGACTCAATGAGGAACCTAAAAGAGTAACTTTTTTGCTCTCAAGAGACTTTTGATACTGAATTTTTTTTTATCTTTTACGCTCAAAATGTGTAAATTCTATTAGTTTTTAGTTTTGTGACGTTGAAGTTTTACAGCAAACAAAAGCTCTTAGATTCAGCAACTAGTTGTGCAACTAGTTCAAAGATTATTACTATTACTTTGAATAACACTAACGTTTTTATTTTTTTAGTTTATTTGCCTTTAAAAAACAAAAATAGCACCTTTTCTTATAGCTCCTGTACCTGCTAGAAGGTCCTGCTATAGGGTTACACGTGCCCCTGGTCAGGACTTGGTATCAGTGCACAATAAACAGAACAAACACTGCAGAGAGAATAGTGTTGGTTGTATATTAAGTGTGAAGTAAACATCAGGGAAGGAGGTGATGGGGAGGAGCAGGCGTGATGTCTGGGGCCCGGGGCCTCGGGGTATAGGAGCAACAGTGACACTAGATCTCTGTGTTTCCCCCTCAGCTCGTATTTCCTCACATATGTTTCTTTGTCACATGATTCAGCCGATCTGTTGCATTTGCTAAATCTGTATTTCTAGATGTGCATGTACCGTTGCTGATCAGCAGAGGAGTTTTTAAATGTTCAAAATTCAACTAAGTATGCCTTTGGCCCGACTCCACTCATTGATGACCTTACAACATGAGAGGCGTTGTAGGCAGACTCCCATTAAAGGTAACAACCTCGTCATTAGGCCCTGCACATGGGGGCGGGGGTGAGGGTGAGGAGAAGCGACCCACCTAATCACATCTGTCACCTCTGGGACCAGAAGTGTCCGACAGGTTCTTGTAACTGGTTGTTTTTTTGTCTCGTAACAAAGCAGATGAGACGTTTGCTTTCCAGGGAGAGACTGAAGAAGTCGTTAGAAGACAGACGTACAGGATGTGATCTGTTGGTGCATAATGTTTGTCGTTTACGTGGAGTAGCATCATGTATGTCGTAGAGGGATTCAACTTTTTGATGAACATGTCCCCCCTGAGATGTTTACATGAACATGCCAAACACACACACACACACACACCCTGCATCATCTTTGCATATCTTTATGCCCACACTTACATAATTTGGGTTTCCTGGTCCTTACACATACTTTTTAAGTTCTTATGTAAATAATTTAAAAAATGCATGTAATACAATCAGCCTTTTTCTCCAAACCAGTGATGCTTATCTGCAAACAGTCTGAAAATAAGTTATATGCAAATATTCAATACACATTAAATATGGGTCTACAGATTTATAGATTTAAAACAGTAGGAACAATAACAGGAGGACCAACCACAGAATTGAAAAAGGCCATGAGACATACAGTACATGAGCAGAAACACCACTATAAACATGACCATCATCACCAATCCTTTAAAGGAGAAGAGAAGAAGGAAATGTACAAAACATGTGCCACAAGTGTTAACAGAGCAGAAAAAAGTTCTCAGGTTTCAAAACAACATTTTATTGTCATGTGAAAAGTCTCTATCGTATCAAAAAAAATGTTGTGAAGAAATAAAAAACAAAAATCACATCTGGAGGTAGCACCACTATAAAAGTTTTAGTGCCATAATGTTGATTCATCAGTTATTTGAAGATAAAATATTTAAGAATCAAAATTAATGGATTTACAAAACCTGGTGACCAACTTTTTTCTTATGCTAAAGCTGCTAAACAGTTTCATAAGGAGCTGCTACTTATACTTGCCCTTTATAATTTGATCTTTATATAAAACACATATTCACTCACTGATCTACAATGTCAGTGTCATTAGCTTGACTACAGATATATGGATTTCTGGTGTTTGTGTGACAGCACAGTGACTTGATTTAAAGCTCCTGTAAGGAACTTTTTTTTGTTTGTCTCAGTGGGTACTGATGTAGTCCTGCACATAATTGGCATTTCTTGGAAAAAAAAAAAAAAAATCTCCCCTACTTTCCTTTTGTCGTGGATCACACGAAAGGAAAGGCAGCAGAAATAGTAGGTGTCAGTAGCTGCGTTTACATTGGCACAAATAATCGGAATAAAAGCCAGATCGGTATAAAAAAGCGTCATGTAAACATGTTGATCGGAAGATTCTGATCCAATTTGGCTCAATCCAAAAGAACTTGTATTCCGATCGAGAGGGGTGGTTTATGCCCATCGTTATTCCGAAACGCATCCATGTAAACACTTATTCTGATCGTGACTCTCTTACCTGACTCGATCTTCACTCTTTAGCCTTTGGTTTATTTATTGAGGCCAGTTCAGGAGGTTTCATTATTAACACTCTGGCACAAAACACAACCGCAGATGCCGTGTCTGCTCCTCTAATTACATAACAAGGCGTACATACATCGTAATGATGTCACATCTGCACGCACAGTACAACCTTTGACAGAACAGTAAAATAAGTAGGCAAGGGCGCCATCTAGTGACAACATTCAACAGGGAGAAAACCTGAATTGGATTATGTCAGCCACTAGCCAAAGCTTGTTGCCTGTATACACACGTCACGATTGGATTATTTGACTTCGCGCCCATATAAACAGTGGATTCAGATTTAGCAATCCCTCAAATTTTTAATTGGATCAATAAATTTTGCACATGTAAACATGGCCAGTTAGTCTCCCTCTGTGGTTCCAGATATTAAAAGTTACTAAAGAAAAATAATGAATCTTCCTGCTGTATGCTTTGAAGTTCACCATGAAACCTCATCATTTCACAACCAGTTAAAAACTCCTCAGAGACACTTTAACTATGAACCACAGTTTGGACGGTAGTTTGCTGATAGCTGTTGAATTTATTGTAGAACGACCAACACTGACTTTAAAAATCCACCTATCGTAACTCGGGCTGACATCATGGTCACTCACGAGGTAAAGTATTTAATTTTTATCATTTGTATGTTAATTTTGCACCAACGCCAACTCACTGTTAGAGGAGTCAAGTGCTCATACAGATTGTAACTGAACAAAAGTGGGGCCTTTCTTTTCTTTATCAGGTGTGTCTCATGTTTTATCAATAACGTCCTGCAAGACTTTAGGGAGTGACCAAATAACCTAATTAAACTCCTAATATGCATACACAAAGTATACATTATAATGTAGCAGTGCTCCCATTATTCTTTAGGCACTTGAGCAGAGAAACTTTTCCCATTACCCTTGAGTTAGCATGCATTAAAAGTCTTATTTTAGAAACTTTAGACCTCCACAGAGTCATGGAAATACAGCAAAATCAGTAGGTGGGGTCACTCGACTTAAAAAAAACAATTCTTTAAAGCTTAAAAAACAAGTGTAAATGGACCTTTAAAAGAGGTTACTTTGCTAGAATAGCTTTTTAAAACTCGTTGAATTAGTTTCTCTTGGATTCATGCCACTTCTCCTAAAAGTAATATAACAACGACCGACGCTGACCACATTGGTCTGCTTGATTCTGACTGATTCTTTCATTAGTTCTGTTGTAATGCTGCCGCCGCTGACATTTTTAACTCGACTTTTGCAATATTCATATTTAAATGATTCATGCTACATCTTTTTGTACAAAATGTAAGAGTTATTTTCCTGTCAGCTCCAACATCCAGCAGCCAGCAGGCCCGTCAAAGTCAATGTGGGTGGATCCTGCAGGCAGCAGCCAGTCAAATCCAGGTCATTCATGGTAGTGGTGGGGGTGGGAGGGCGTTTATGTCTGCGTGTGTGTGTATATGTGTGTGTGCAATTCATATGTGTGTGTGTGTGTGTGCGTGGGTGGAGTTGGTGGTGGAGGGGGGAGCGTACTAGACTGGACGGACGATGTGACCGAATTGAGAGTTTCCATACAAGCAACAGGATCTGACCAAGATAAGCCTCTTGGGAGTCGAGCGGTTCTCTCTCTCAGGGCGGATTAAGTGCGCGCACACACACACACACACACACACACACATTTCTCTCTTTCTCTGTCAACTGTACACACATCTGTCCATCTGTCCGTCTGTCTCTTTTTCTGTCTCTGTTTTCTCCTTTTGACTCTCCAGGATGGCGCCTCGCCTCGTACGGGGAAACATCCAAAAGATCCAAGTTTGGGGATTTTCTGGTTCTCCTAAGCCTCAGGTCTTTGTGGAAACATAGTCTCTTTGGTACCCCCCCTTCCCACCCTCCTACACATCTGTTTCTCATTTACATCTTAGGTCTAAGTTCAGTCGAAGAAGAGGGGGGGGTGAATGGGTGTTGGATAGCGAGTAAAAGGGGATCAGAAACATCTTAAGTCTTGCACATGTTTTTCTTTTTCTATAAATAAAGACTTTGTTTCCAACATGTTGGATCCAACATTTTCAAAACATGAACACCCACTCTTATTGAACAATATGAAAAACATACATTTGCTGTAATTGGCTTTAGAAAGTTGACAGCTATTGGGGGAAAATGATTCACATCTACCGCCTGGTGCTTTCATTTAACCCTGTTATTATTCTATCATAAATCTCAGTGGGGAAAGTGGTCAGGATTCAGATTTAACAACTTGAATCTTTGCTGCTCCTACTTTCAATTGAATACATATCAAAATCATCTGTTCGAGTAGAAAATCTAATAAAAATTTGACTAATTGTTGACTTCACTGTCTTTTCTGTTGTTCTAGCAGCTGGACTCTTCTACTACAGCGCCATGCTGTTAGAATAAATGCTCAATGTGTTTTTTTGTTTTTTTTTGTCTTGTGAGAATATTTAAGGTTCCCTCCCCCTCATTCTCTTTGCATGGTTCAGTTGTGACCTGCATTGATAGGTGCAGTTTTGAGCCCATGCGGTGACTCCCACTGCAGAGTTCTACCTGTTTTTAATGCAATGCTTCTTGAAGGCACGAAGTTCACAGCCATCCAGTTTTGGTTTTCAGTCTGGTCTTGTTTGGACAGAGATTTCTTCAGATTCTCTGAATCTTATAACGAAATCATGAACGGTAGATGATGACATCTCTTTACTGTTTGCAGTTTCAAGGTCCTTACACACCGGGAGCATTTTTTTCGATTCACCGGTATATCCAACATGGCCGACTGGCTGATTGTTTACGTGTCGGAGAACAGAGTGATTTTTGATAAAAGACACAAACATTACAAAGATAGCGACCTGAAGGACAACTTGTGGAGAGTCATAGGGTCAGATTTCTCATATGACGATGGTTTGTGTGCTTTAACAGTTTGCTAAACGTCTTTGTTTTAACTTTCATCTGTGCTAAAGTAACTTTAGCTCGTAAGCTAACCTGTTCAGATACAACATACCATATGTGTTTTCACTGTCTCAAACTCAGTCGTGTTGCTGTCACAGCACCATGAGGTCTCGGTTGTTACCTTGCGTTTATGGATTCTAGTTTAATGTGCTTATCTGGTACTGGCCCCGACTCAGTACATGCTATCATGACAGACAGACATCTCAACACTAGAGTCTAATCAGAACTGAAAAACAGTCAGTCTGCTGTTGGGTCAGTCTTCTCACTTCCACCCTGGACGCGTCTTTTTCCCCCCCGGAAAGTCGCAAAATCGCATCGCGCTTGATGTGTATACACAGGCGTCAAATATTTGCATCATTCCCGGTGTGTAAGGACCTTAAGGGCTAAATTCCACAGGATTTGGAATGGCTGCACTGCGCTCCGGAACAGCAGCCTGATCAAATAAGCAAGCATTATGATCAATGTGCATGATTCCACACAATCCGTCGGTCTGGCAGTGGGATCAGATATGCAAGGCTTATATTTTCACCAGACGCTGCAGCACAGCGCATCAATTCACTGCAGCGCAGCACGAGCGGCAGCAGAAGTTGTATGTGGCTACAGAGTAAAATATCCAGTTAATTTTCAAATTAGATAAAGTCAATACGTTGAACTGTTTTTCATGTGACAATGGGAGGGGCCAGAGTTGTGAGATGTGGGTGTTTATATACACCACCGATCTCATTCAATGTCTCACGGTGAAACACACAAGACCTTGTGAGATCTCATCCAGTCTTGCGAGAAATATAGGTATTATCACAAGCACTTCTCCTCTGCTTGCTGCAGTGGATCGGATCCGGTGAGCGCTGTATGCTTGTGTATCTGATCCACCTGTCGCTCCAGACGGGAGCGAGGGGATCTGCATGCGGTGGAATCCCAGGGTTATCCCGAGAAGCATTATTCTGAAGCTGCTAAAGTATTTGTTCATGTCATCCCACATTTGAGCAATACAGCCTCTCTAAGATGCCCTTCTTACACCCTGTCATGTTACTAACCTGTTTTTAATTAACCTTATAATCTGGGCGATTTTGTAAGTATTTCAAAACTTTGTCAATGTTTTGCTGACCCTGAACCAACTTTTTTGAAATAAGTTTCTGCCCTCAGATTTAAAATGAGCATAAATTTTTCTCAAATGACATTTTTCAGTTTAATGTTTGATGTGTTGTTTGGAAATCTGATGAATGAAACAAAAAGAGGAGCGAGTGAATCAGTTTGACAGATGATATATTCATGCCTTCAGAGAAGCTGTTGTCCGACTTCTGTCACCGTCATTTTCAGATATTTCTGACTCAAACAAATCAATGCACTGTGACTTGTGTGACTCTGATGCAAGCCTTTGAAATGCACTCTAGCCCTGCAAATAAGACAATAGTCAGTTCTGAATGTCTATAAGGAAAAGATTACTGAAACATGACCGGATCTTATAATCACTGATTTTTATAGCGGATGTCAAAGAAAATGATCCAAGACGTTTATTATCTCCAGACACAGACTAAAGGATTGTACATGTGCGGGTTCAGGTTGAGCTGACATGGAGGTCGCTGTGGACCACATGGCAGGATTTTTACTGCCTTTGTTGCCTTAAAGACCACCAAGCTGGGTGATGTTATAAAAAGTTGAAACAGCAGCAGATTTCTATAAAAGTAAAATGTAGCTGCATGTGTAATATATCTTTGACGCAGTTGGATTCATCAGAGTAATAATTTAACATCCTTACAGAGTGAATACATAAATAAGATGGTTGTGGATATTCCTAACACAAGACACGTCTCATGAAAATCCCCTTTAAAGATACTCGTATTTTTCTATGGAGGCTGTAAGAGTGTCTCAGAAGATATCTCCTCTTTTTTAACACTTGGAGCTCAGGATGCTGATGGTGTCTTGGCAATTCAGAGTCAGTAATGTGTGAGTTTCAGTGCTGGAGTAAAAGTTTAGACATTACTTACAAGAAGTTTTGATCAAAATATGATCATTGTGAGCGTACGTTGCATATATTCGGATGTATGAATGGATGAATCAACTTTAATTTTGAAGAATAGTCAAATTTTTTCTTTGGTGTATGGATGTTATTATTAAGAAAGGCCATGAAAAGGCCAAAATTAAGAGCACCTGTTACACTCAGCTCCAAGGTAAATAGTAGTTTTGTAAATGTTGTGACTGGGCCACCCCTGACTCTGTCAAAACCTGGTTGAATTGGCCACCCCAGTCAAAGAAGTCTGTACACGCCCCTGCTTTAATACTTTGTGTGTGAAGTATGAAATCAATTTAGTGCGAAAATCTGAATTTAAACTGCTTTTAGGTTGTTTAAAGTTTGTCTACTTAAAAATATCATTCCAATACTTTCATGATAATCTTGAATACGTACTTATCTTGATATAGTTGAAAAGCTGTGTTAAAAACTGTATAAATCATTACAATCATAATAGTTAGGGATACACAATGTTATTGGTTATAGATGATATTAAAACCATCAGTATCAGCAAATGTGAAAATTTAAGTTAAGGTAGTTATCAGTCAAATGGATATTTAGTTTTGCTCCTTTTTTATTTCATTGAATAATATTGTGGTAACTCTTTCTTTTACGGTACACTTATTACCAGGTAATTAACAGGTAATTACCTAGTAACAACATGAAATTATCTGGTAATTACATGATAGCTACTAAGTCAATACTGTCTAGCTACCAGGTAGATAACCTTCCATCTTCATATAAATTTGAAGCTGAATTGCTCTGGTATTTCCAGGATTTTCTCCACTTCCTGGAACCACCACTTGCGCAGTAGCATTGTACGCATTCGGCGGGTGAGTCGCTGTGATAATGCTCGGCTCAAACAGCGTATCGCTACGCAATCTTTGCACGCCCATAGGCTGTATCAAGTGTCAATCATAGAAAATAAGAACCCCAAATAGCTTTTGAAAATGGAGCTGCACAGAAAAAAGAAAAACTAGACAGTATTGACCTACCAGATAATTTCATGTTATTACTAGGTAATTACCTGTTAATTACCTGGTAATAAGTGTACCGTAAAAGAAAGCGTAACCTATATTGTCTGTGTTTCTTCACATTTCTTAGAATTGACTTCAGGTTTATTGGTGATTAAGATCATTGTCAATTGTGATGTCTTTAGAGAGTTTGTAGCGCTGCTCTGCATGTCCTGTCGTGCACTAACACAAACACCATTTTTTAACCCTCTTCAATACAAAACTCAATGTTGCTCATACAAAAAGAAATAAATTATTTCTGCAAAAATAACCTGCAAAATAATTAAAATGTAGAAGATAAATTAAAAATGGGCTCCAACCTTGGTATTTATTCAATTTACACCAATAAAAAGTCATGTTTTTAGTCACATTAGTCTTTTAGAAAGGATTGCCCAACGCTATTAATTATTATGGAGGAAATCAAGTAATGCAGTATAATAATATTAATCACATGTTAGACTGAGCGCACTGAGAATATTTAGTAGTCATCGCTTCAGTTTCCACGTGTAAACAATCCAGTGATTAAGAGCTGCCTCTGGCCTATTTGACCACACAAAGACACTCTCCCCTCTGTTCCTAAACGAGGATTTCTTTGAATCCAGACTTTAAAGGAGCCCCCGTCCTTCATTATTCATGTTAATTTATGCAACAGAAAACCCAACTAATAAAATTTTGGAATACATAAGTGTGTCTTGGTCCGAAGTAATGAGATATGCCAATAATAATATGTAAATTTGGTGAATTATTGAATAGGCATGACTGAAGATTTCTTATTAGTTTGCATGTTTATCTCCAAAAATCCATCAATTTTTCAGGGTGCTTCTGCTGCCCTGGCCGATAGGTAAATGTAATCAAACACTGAAATCAATAATTCAAGTGTTTATGTGCTGCTGTGTGTGTATATCACTCCCTCTGTCTCTGTACAACAGGAGGTTTAGTTTGGTCTGGTCTTTGTTTGTAGGATTCAGAGACCAAACTTTGAGCAGTTTTTGTTGACTTATCACAGAATTAACCTTTGAGTGATCTGAAAACAAAGAAAAACCCACAGAGCTGTCTGAAGTTGATGTTAGGAAATAGATCAAACAGATAAATTAACAAGTAAGTTAATTGAATCTTTATTTTAATCACCTCTAAGATGACAAAAGTATTTTATTATTGAGAACAAATGTCCAAGGTTAACACTGAAATCAAGTATCTTTTTGTTAGGCGATCCCCAATAACCTTTTAACATGAACTGATGTTAACTTTTTATTTGTTAATTTTTATGTGATTTTATTTTATCCAATTCCAAGTTACTAACTTAGTTTTAACCCCTCCTCTAATTTTACATTTGTAACTATTTTTACAAAGTTTCAGCAAGACAACTTATCAGTTTTTTGTGCTTTTGTTTTGTAATGACCACACGCTACTTTTACTTGTCTATGCTAGCTAGCTTATAAAGAGAAATACATATGAGACCATTACATCTTTTCCTCTGGTGATGAACAACAAAATGCATTTCTATATCTTACAGATATGGACAAAAATATAGTTAAATAACTGATAACTAATAATAATAATAATGTGATAATTACAATATTCCTGATCCACTTTTAAAGAATGTATTTATCTTCAATACTGCCATTAAGTCTATAAAAAGTGTCTGCTCTAAGACGGGGGTGTAACCTGCACTTACTGTTGTTGTTTCAAAGTTTAAAGCTCCTGTGAAGGTTTTTTATTGTTAATGAAACAGGCTGCAATTCAGATCCATGCCTTTTTATGTTATACAAAAGCAAACAAGACCATCAGCGACATGATTGACGATTCTTACACTGCAATTTTTAATGTCTGAAACCAAAGGGAGGGGGTAGGTGTCAGCTGAGCAGCTGGAGAAACAGCCCTGGTTTTACAATGTTTATATAAACTATTCAGGTCAACATAAGGAGATTTTTTTGCCAGGAGACACTAGCTCATAAAGGGCCAGATAAGCAAAGACTATTTTGTCCACAGGGGGGCACCAAAATTGGCATAAACCAAAAGTTCCCCACTTGAACTTTAAGTTTGTCCTGACTTTCAGAACAGCTGGGAAGTCCAAAAAGATCATACTGATATCCTCCACACTGTCATCAGAGAGTAATGGGTGCATTTTAACACACATATGTTGCAAGGGGACACTGTCACTGCATTTTAAGCTGCTGTAGAAAACTTTTGGCTTGTTTTGATTTTGGCGCCCCCTGTGGACGAACATATTTAATCATCTTGCTGTTTTTGTGCTGTACATGCTGGAGTAGAATTTGCTGACAAAAAAACTCCCCTTGACTGTTTTGTAACTGTCAAATATATAATTCTGTGAATATTTGCAGTCAAAATGCTGCTCCTGGACTTGACTGACACCTACTCTCTGCAGTGGTTTCAGGCATTAAAATTACAACACAAAAACGCAACTTTGCTGATGGTCTGGTTTAGTTTCGTTGACCATAAAAAAGGCATCAGTATCAAGTTTAGTTTGTGGGAACGTAGGAGCGGGCTGACTTAACATCACTGTGGGTGGGAGTCAATGAAATTCCTGCTGCTCCCACATGTAGCCACAACGATCAACTAGAGAATCAACTAACAATGTAGAAAATAAGTTTGTAGATAAGTTTGAACCGAACAGGTCAGAAGACGGGATTAGGGGGACAGTGGATAACACACCTTGATCTGGTGGTTATGTTGAAAACATTCCTCTGCAGATCTCTTATCTGTCAAACAACCAGTTTAAAACTTCTCACAGGGGCTTATACTTGTCTGGCTTGTTAACTTTTGCTCATTTCCTGGATTTGTGTGAATATTTAAAACAGTCTTCCGCTTATGAACTTTTGTAAACCTCAGGAGAAGAGAGCGATGAAATGTGGGGGGAAAAAAAGTGTCAATATATAAAAGACGTAACAACATGTTCAGGCATGGTGAAAACTACATTTAGATCAAAAGGAATGCTGAAAGTTTTTGAAAATCTTGAAAAGAGATTTATGAAGTTTTTAAAACTAAATGTTGGCTACGATCAAAAATACTTAGAGCAGGGCATGCTAAAGAGGAGCTGTGAGAGATTTCTTTATCATATCATCAGGTAGCACCTTTTCTTTAATCTCTTTCTCAACCTGCTTTTTCATTTAATAAAATAACGTAGAAGTTAGGAGACTATACAGTATTTTCTTATATTTTGTTAAATTGAAAACCACAATGTAACACAATAAAAAATGATATATATATTCAGCCTATTTTCTCCGCTAAAAAGATACCAAATAGTATATTTTTCTTCTTCTCCTGCTCCCACTACTTCTTCTTCTTCTTCTCCATTCCCCTGCCTCATTTGCAATGATTGTGTTATCAGGGCAGCCAGGCAAAAGGGTGGAGCAACCATAATTTCAGCGCGGGATTAGGCAGAAATAACGAGGTCACCAAGTTACAGTTGCCATGGCAACGACACATCCAAGAACACAGGATGCCATTGCTTTAAAAAAAAAAATAGAAGAAACAGGGCCCAGGATTTTTTTTCCTCTCTCTCTCTTTCTCTCTCCGCGTTTTTTTTTCATACCCCTCCCTCTCCATCTTTCTCTCCCATCCTCTCCTGCTCCCTGTCTACGCTTTTTTTTTTTTTTAGGCGAGCGAGGAGCGGAGGGGAGCAGTTCACTTTCACTCCCTCTCTCTGTTTTTTTTTTTTTTCTTTTTCCAGAGCCTTTTGTTTCTGAACATATTCAGAATAATAAATTCACTGTTGAGTACATTTGCATCTTTCTGGTATTCATATTTGGTGGGAGGTCTGTTTCCTCTTATTCTAACGTGGCTGCACCCGCTCTATAAAGCTCATTAGAAAACACCCCTCTTCACCCCCTCCCACAAATCCCTCCCTCACCTCCCACAGTCCTTAAGAAAAACTCCAAGTTCTCCTCTGTTTTTTTCAGCTTATTTTTTTGTTTTGGGGGAAAACTGTGTGAGGCGATCGAAGTCAGGAAAAGTTAAAAATAAGAAAGCATGGCTCCTGTTTTTGAGGGGAAACAATTTATGTGGTGCCCCTGGCCCGGGCATCGATTCGGATTGAAGTTACCAGAAGCTGCAGGCGTCTATTCAAACACAGATCTGTTCCCAAGTTGCACCTGGCTGCTGGTAAGACCAGAGCCCAGGAAACTGATTCAACTCTATGCAAAGTCCAATAATCAGCAGGCCTGGAGACGAAGCACCCACCGGTCCAGCACTGTTGTTCTGGAGCAGTATTGATCGACTTTGGGATGATGCCGATTACACAGAGAAAGCTTGAAAAAAGCGGTATTAGGGCTGTGCATGAAACAGGGACTGTGAATGAGGTTAATACAGGGATAAATGAAGAAATTAAATTTAGAGTCTAGTTTCCTGTAGATGGTTAAAAACTCAAAAACATGATGGTGAGTTTCAATGGAGTTTATAATTCTAGCAAAAGAGGACCTCCTTGTACCAAATTTGTAGGTAATTTCTACATCTGAGCATGTTATTAGTTACATCTCATCTGATATCTGATTGGTGAAATTCCATAAAAGTGATGATCAATTCTCAACATCAAAATCTGATCACACATTTCATTCAAACTCAATCTGTGTCAAGGAGTCCGTCTGCCTGTTGAGACTGTGTCAAAAAAGTTAGTTCCCATCTCAGGCTGGTTTTGAAAGGTGGGAGGTAATGGCTGTTTATGGATACAGATGTGGGTGCCATCTCGGAATTGAAAGTGGAGCAAAACCCTGTCCTGCAATCCATGCAGAGCTGGCGGGCGTGTGTCTAAGTTGCCTAAGTAGTTAACTGTTAGTATTGGTGATAATAGCACCAAGTTAAAAAAATTTTAAGGGAATTTTAACTGCAAAGCTGTGAAGACAAAAAGCGAATTGAGGACAGAAATGTCAATATAAATGTGTGTCGATTTTGGCGCCCCCTGTGGATGAAGTTAAACCTCTCAGCTACATGTCAAAGTATAATGTTATTGGTTAGCAAAACAAACCTCACTCTGCTGTCTCATTTGTTTTTATATTATTTGGGGTATTTTTCGTGTATTTACAGGGAGGATATGATGGTGGATAGAGTGGGAGCTAGAAACCAGAGCAGGGAGTGGCGTGTGTAAAAGGGGCTGAGGGCTGAAACTATACCCATGACGCCAACTAACTAGATACACGCTTAAAATACTGAGCCTGAGGCACAACATCCTGCTGTGTTTTTTTTTTTACAGTCAATCATATCACACACCTTTACTTCAGATAGGGTGAAAATAGGCTGTTTTTGCAGTGTGCCATAACTCACTTTAGCACCTACAGGGCATTAAGTGTATCAGTTCTTGTTGGTAATACAGAGGTTTTCAAATTAATTGAAGTCTTTTGTGTATATATAAAAGTTTATTATAATTGTTTAAACTTAAGTGGCACAACTATTGTTAATACTTAGATCCTCTGTTGTACCTCAAACTGATTATCTTTTTCTGCAGTATCTACCTTCACAGGACTCCACTACTTAAACATGACATTAGGTCTTTGAACCCGACCCTCCTCCTTAAACAGCGAAGGTTTCAGCTCCTCTCTCTAAACTCCGGTGACTCACTCGTTCTGATGTGCTTCCTGCTGCTCAGAGGATTATCAGTCAGAATAACCAGAGAAACATGATGGTTTGTGTACTGAAAAAGGGGGCTAAATATAAATGTGTTGTTAGTATAAAGCATTTCATATATATGTTTTGACTCGTGCTTTTTATGGCGTTCTGTAGTGTATTAAAAATCTGTGATTTATACTGCAAAGCATGTCTGGTTTGAGGGGAAGAACCAAGACGGTAGAATCATTAAAAAATAATAATAACAATGGATGACATATTAATTAGAATATCATCTTTTCAGCCTCATCAGAGAAGGTCTGGCAACGATACAGCCTCTGGAGGAGACGGTCAACTTATCTAGACTCCTGCATGGCCAGCAGAGACTTTCAGCCAGGACTTATTGATGACAGTCCAACCAGCGAATGGAGAAACCAGACCAGAGTCGAGAAAAGGCGTCCAAAAGCAGGTTTGTGAATGCTTTGTCATGATTACGTTTGTTTAAAGTTATGAATCAAAGCTGGATCAGCGCCTGCATGTTACAGATTGTGTACTTCTCCTTTTGCAGACTGACAAAAAATAAGCACAAGAGAGCACCACATCCAGTCAGAAGTCTTCAGGTTTTGCATTCTTGTGCAGCATTTGTGATTATTTTTTTTTTTATTAAATATTGAAGCAGTTTATATTTATCCCTTAAAAGAGGGTCAAGAAAGGTCTCCAAGAGCTCAAACAGGTACCACAACAGATCCTTAAACCTTTTCTCATCATGGCTGCAAAACAAAAAATGAAAAAGAGCCCTCCCTGAAATCCTTAAATCATCTTCAAAACTGATCGAATTCACAAGAAATAACCTCTTGCATACAAATTAAACCTTCTCTGAGCTGCTGTGCGAGTGTTATAAAAGAGCAGGGAGGGCAGCAGGACCACCACGGACCACCACGGCTGCTCCTCGCCTTCAAACACTCCGGCAATCTGCCTCTTAAAACACTTTATTTATTCAGCTCCGGAGCCATACTCTAAAGTTTTCTAACCTCTCAAATCTATTTCTTTTTTTTTCTCCAGTGATTCAGATTTGATCCTTGAGACTAAATGTAGAGAGCAGCTTTAAAGACATGCTTGAGTTTAATTTGAATTAGGACCATTGCAGCGTGGTTTTCTGTTTTATACGAACAGCAGAGGAACATTCATTGTGTTTGGTTTCTGGAATATTCTCTCTGCCTCACATCAGGTAGCAGAGAGAGAGATGGGCTCTGTGTGCGTGTGTGTGTGTTTGTGAGTGCGTTTATGTATGTGTGGTTTGTATGCATGTGTATTTGTGTGTATGTGTGTCCAAGAGCAAGTGTGTGCGTATTTGTGTGTGTCTGTGTGTGCGTGTGTGTGTGTGTGTGCAGGCGCATGTGTGCGAGGCTGCTGCCATGCCTACGAGATGGGGGATGGTAGCAGCACAGCCAGCTATTTTTCTTTCTTTCTCTCCTGAACATCAAGTTTGGTCTCCCATCAGCCTCGTCCTCCACAGAAAACGGCTGCTGGTTAAAGATGTGATGCAAACATCTACGATAAACCAGCGCACTAGACGCAGGACTATTGATTAACTCGGTATGCTACAGACTTGTATTGATCCATTTTACTATAGAAAATATCGATTAATCAAAATAAGGAGGATAAAATGATCTGTTCAGCCAAGCAAGACAGATAAGGAAGGTTATTACCAAACTAATACACCCATGAATCCTATCTAACTTAGATGTAAAGAACGCAGATGTTCCTCGACTAAAATAAACTAAATGCTGATATTTTTTTTTAAATTGAAGAACACACTAAGAAATGTCCCAGTCTTTAATAACACAATGCAGATTTTAATTGGCAAAAATTTAAGGACACTAATTGCCTGTTGGCCTCTTGCAGATTCCAGTTGTAAAAACGTCGCCCTCTTTACCTGTGCCAGTTGTCTTCTTCAACTACTTCCTTTGAAACAAAGTCAAACAGGTAAATACACCTCGTAAGTTTAACTTTAAAGGTTTGATATGTTTAAATAACCCAATAGGCATTTTTTTTTTTCATGAAAAAAGTTTGGTTACACTTTACTTGACGCCAATCTTATTAACGCATTATAAATATATTCATAATGCGTTATAATCACGTTATAGCACTTTAAAACTATAAACACTCATAAATGATCATAATGCTTTATAGCAATAATCGTAACACATTATAAAGCATTTTATCATGACTTACAAGGTCAGGTATTATAATGTGTTATAACTGTTAACAACTTACTAACAATGATTACATAGATAATACAATGTAACTGTTGGTAACAGTTATAACACATTATACAGTGCTTTAACATGATTATAACCCATTATAAATATATTCATAATGCGTGACAGAGATAGGCGTGAAGTAAAGTGTTACCAAAAGTTCCACTGAAATAAAATTATTAGCTGTTTATAACCTGCTGTAGTTACCATTAGAGCAATGTGTTGCAAAAAGCTTGACAAGATCTGCAGCCTCATAGTTTCTAACCTCATTGCACAGTGATCTGAGTGAGCTGGGATGGGATAAGAGTAAGGTGATGAGCTGATTGGCTGCTTGATTGTTGTCTAAAGGTAAAAGGATGCAGACAGATGCAGAGGTGGAAAAACACCAGAACAAATTTGCCGAGCCCTCCAGAAGAATCCATGCCAGTTCACCACGGAATCTGACCCCCGGACAAGAGGAGGCAACTGTCCAAGTGTTGCAGCTGCAGTTACAACAGCATATCCATGAGTGGTATGTCAAAATGTTTGTGTTATTCCAGCCTTCTGTTCTTCCTTTTGAAAGTGAACCTTTGTCAGGTCTCTCCATCAAACGTGTGTTTAGATTTTATCATAAAATCTGCCTATCTGACAGAAGTTCTCACACACATTCTCACATAAGAACAGTGATTTTCTTATTTATTTTGCAGCTAAAACGATAGCATCACAGTGCATCACAGTCCCAACCTAAAAAATGAATGATGTATGACAGTTGGTCACTAGCTACAGTCTAGCAGATGGGATGGTCTGTCAGGTATAAATCATTTACATCGGCATACAGGGGTCTTTCTGCTTTCACAGTCAGAGCTGCGCAGCATCAGCACCAATACACGAGCAGTCTTATTTCTGTTTTCTGCTTTGGTGGATGTTTAGAAACGGTACCTTTACTGCGTCTCTGAGGTTTCTTGTTAACTTCACACAGTGTGAAGAGTGCCATGTTTTGATTATGTATGAAAAAAAATGCAATATTTGAGATATTGCATAGACAAAATCCAGACGACCACTTTGTGCACACAAGATTACACAGGGTGACCAAACGTCCTCTTTTACCCGAACATGTCCTCTTTTTGGGGGGCTGTACGGCCTTTGTCCGGGGGGAGTTTACAAAATCCTTCAAATGTCTGGAGTTTTGAGTTTGAGTCGCGTTGACTTACTGAGTTAGAAGCGCTTAAAAAAAACACTCAACGCGACCCGAAAAACTCTAAAAATTTACTATGAGTGACTCCGTGACTCCGCTCCCGCTTAGTCGTGTCCTCTTTTTAGGGATTCAAAATATGGTCAACCTAGTTTACAACCTTTTCCAACAGGGCGAAAACTTGTAGATAATTCACTGTGGGCATAAGAACATAATGTAAGAAACATATATTAAGTCTTTTCAGTGTTTAATGGTTACATATAAACCTTTGGAAAATAGTTAAATTTAGTTTTGGATGTTCAGACATGGTTTCAGTGAGGGCTCGCTGGGATTTTGCTCTCTTATCTTTACTGTTAGTAAAAAGGACACCATATGGTGATTGATTTGGCTGAGGGGACTATTTTCAGACATATGAGCTCTGATGAAATAATGAAACAACAGCAAAGAAAGTAAACAAACTTTCCATTTACAGCTGCTGCGAAAACAGCAACACTGGCAGTGCTAACGACGAACTGTGAGCCAATATTTGTGTTATTCCATCCTCATTGGACTTAATGTGACACTTTCTGTTAGTTTTTAAACAGCTTTGTTGCAAAATCTGCCCGATGAGAGCATAATCAGCACTCAGAGTAATTGTCACTGAACAATCAGCACTTATGAAAACTGGGGTGTTTGTTGTGTGGAGGAGAAGGAGGAGCGCTGGGAGGTCTATTCTGTCATGTGTCTTGTCAGGGGAAAGTTTTGCACCTGTGCAGCCGTGATGTGCTGCCACAGAGCAGGGAGCTAATGAGCTGACCGGTCCAGCCAAAACCCCATACTGAACCTGAGATCCTTTCAGCAAATGTTTGTCACATTGTGGAGCGAAACCCACAAACACTGGAACCCAGGGAGTCCAAACGGAAGATAGATTTGATTATATTTACTTCAAGTCTGTTTCTAATAAAACTATTCTCGTAGTTTACACGCAAAAACGCTCGCTGGTTGGGTAATTAGGATCCTGCTATGTGCCTGTTGGCAGACATTAGGCCTAACCTCTTCATGACCCCTCTCTGTCTGAGGAATGCTGGCCGCTGTGTGCGCTAATGTCTCGATCGCCAACCGTTGGCCGGCACCTCCACCACTGCTGCACCACCAGCGGCCGCAGGAAACAACCGAGGGGCATTTTTTTTGTTGGCAGTTGGAGCAGCTTCCTCGCTAAGAAAACATATCCAAAACATCTGCAGCAGAGTGAGCGAAGAGAGGGGAAGGAGGTTGATGGGGGAGGGGGGGTGGGGTGGTGGTGGTGGTTAGAGGGATGGGGAGATGTGGTGGTGGTGGCGGCGGTGGAAGGGGGGCAGAGATGTGGGGGCGGCAGGCAGCAGCAGAAGTACGTCTGCGCCGCAAATCTGACGAGGACTTTTGAAAGGCTAAATCCCAAAGAGAGCGCTGCTGCCTCGGCTTGCTGCACTACAAACAGCCAGAGCTGAGACAGGCAGAGCAGTTTCACCAGAGAGGAGAACAAATAATTATAGTGATAAACTCTGTGTGCTATACCTGACAAACGCTGCAGGTGGAAAATATTTACAATGCAAAAAGTGCAGGATTATTTCACATGTAAAGTGTCGCTGTTATTATTTGAAAGGTTTTCATGGTGTAAATGTTGCCTTGGCTTCAGCGTTTCAGGGAGAGGCACTTATTGAAGGTTGTGGTTGTGCATGTGTGTGTTTGTGTGTCTCTATCTCTACAATTTTTTCTCCTCCATTTCCACAATTTTCTCCACCTCTGTCATGGTGTATTTGGCGGTGGCGAATAACATTTAGTTTGAAAGAAAACCTCATTTACAATTAGGGGTTCTGTTTTCACATCGCAACTCAACACACCTCCTTTATGAATATTATTTTTGTGGCCTTGTTGAGGTAAGATGGGGAGGGAGAAAGTAAGAATTGTTGTATTTATGCTTCGCTGCAAACAAGACTGAACACGGGCTGCAGTAGACCGAAAGGCTTACCAGTATGTGTTCTTATCATGCACTGTTATTCTGTTTAAGCTCTTGTTAACCTGACTCATTCCGGTCATATCACACAGACATTAAACAGAGGAAATCTGGCGAAGGTTTTGGTCATATTTGAAGTAAAAATACATATTTGATAGTACATTAGCTGACACAGCTAGCTTTAGCATTAACGCTGCGTTCCACTTCTACTCTGAAGTCAGGATTTCCGAACTCCGAGTCAGAAATTCATCTGAAACACCCCCCTGAAGTCAGATTTCCAACTTGAAAAGTCAGACAATCCTCACCAACCCTAACTTGACGACAACGTCATAATCCAAGATGGCAGCGCAGTGCACCAACAGTAAAGAGTAACAGTGAAAGTTCTCGTAATGTTTTATTTATTAGCACTTCTGTTTGTTTTTTTGTGAAATTAAATAAGTGGTTTATGTTGTACTGCCCAACGTCTAACTGTGAACACGGTGCTATGGTGTTTGTTGGAGTAAAATACTGTGTTATGCATCGTTGACAACTGGTATAGCTAACAACAACTAATGACAACAACTGACAACGGCTAACGACAGCTGACAATTGTAAACAACAGCTAACAACGACTAACAGTAGGCGTCCATCTTGGTTTTCCGACTTGTTTACTGGAATGCCATTAACTCAGGTTTAGCGTCATTCCCAGCTCCAACATCCGGCTTCGAAGGTAATATAAGCCTCTTACTAGTTAACCATTAGGCTACGTTAAAAAATCATAAAGTGGATCCATATGACCATCTCTCAACTCATTGAACACTTAAATCAGATTGAAAGTTACAATTTCAATCAGAAAAAAGCTGGTGTGGTCCTTTGGTTTTCTGATCAGGTCGCTTTGTATACAAATATATTCTGATACCAAACGTGTTGGACATGTTTGTCTCTTGTTTCTCATGACTCAAGATCAAGTACAAACATTTAAAAGCAACCAGGCAGTGCAAAATTAATTGCAGAATAAAACAAAAGTCCTTTTAGTCCATTGGTTTTTTACTTAAAATACGACAACAACAAAGGCTGTTGATCCACAAAGTTGACGCTGGACCTCCTTTGACCACGTAAACACTGAGTCAGAATTGATTCTTCTCTTTGTAAAGATGCAGAATTTTAACGTGGGAAGATTCTGATTGGAACAGCGAAACGTGAAGATTATTTCATGAATAACTAATTTGGCTGATTGTGAACGTCAATGTTGGTGTCAGCTTTTATGTCAGATCAGTTAGCCAACTATAGCGGGTCAGGGTGTCCGACTTTTAATTTGCTGAATTTCGAATTAATCTGCCAAATGCTGATTTTTTTAAAGGAGTTTAAAGTCTCGTTCTACCTGCAGGCTTATGCTCATGATGAAAGTAAGATCGACGGTGTTATGTACAAAGGTGTGACCCTTCTCACTCGCAACTTTTAGTTGAATGCCTATGTGGTTGTCATAGTAACAGGCTGGAGGTTGCCAGTAACTTTTGTAACTCTGTTCTGGTGTAAACTAATGAACTATAAATATGTTTCCAAGTTAAAATATGCCTGATCTCCCTCCTTCGTTTTACTTCGTAGCTGTCTGATTATCAAGCTTTATATCGCTCACTTCCTGAGACACACTTCTAATCCATGCTAACATTATACAAGCTTTCCCCCTTGAGGGAAACACCACAAAATAATGGTCGCTATACCGCCTCTTATAAGGATGGTGGTCGTTTGACTGTGGCGTCTTCTCTGTGGACAATTAAATCCTACTGTAACACTGGTTTACAGTCTGCTGGGCTGCTAATCCCATTGCAGCAGTGAAGGTAATCTACACATGAAGGTGCTGAGATCCAACTGGAGACCCCATCCAGACTCTGTGCACCAGCCACAGCAAATGGGATTGGATCGTACTCCTTTGTTCACTCAGCTAAATCTCATCAAGGAGAGAAAAACATCATAATCTAACAGAGCTCTCAGTGAAGCAGCCGTATCCATGATTATATATGTGTAATTTAAAAATCACACCAGTAATAACGTGTTTCTCTGCTCCTGCTGCATGCCGGGTGCATGTGCAGGCTCTGAGCGGAGCAGTATTGTTTTTCCTGAGTAAATACAGCCCTGTTGGAGGCATGAATCATCCTCAGCGATGCCGGGCAACATGATTCATCAGACCTCTTGTCATTTTGTCTTGAAACTACATGCTCTCTAAAACCAAAGAGGTCACATTTAGAGACATTCTGAATACCGGAAAACATTTACCAAACCAAATTAGGGGTTAAAGGTCACCGTGAGAAGGCATTTATTTCTCTTTTCGGCCCCGTGCCATTACGTCTCCATTTACTCTCCTTCCACTACAAACATGTTTGCACCAAGTGAAACTCGTTTGCAGCCACTCTCCTCGATTTACATAAAACATGAGATATTTCCCTGCTCGCTGGATTACAGCATCAGACTGAATCTCTTCCACTGGTTCGACATTCGCCTGCAGACCTTAACTTTTGGCGCAGGGATGCCGATAGATGGAGCTGTGGGTTTGAGGAGGAAGGAAAGAGAGGAGGAGGAGGAGGAGGGGGAGGACGGAGGGGAGAGGGGGGTGACTTTTCTCAACACTTGAAGTTGAGACAGAAGTGTGGAAAAAGACACTGTTTCTAAATCTACGGGGCAACTCATTAGCAGCATTGTACCCACTGATGTCCCTGCGTCCATGTGTGTGTGTGTGAGAGTGTGTGTTTACATTGGAGGCTTTTGTGGTACACACACTATCACCGCATGTCCCTGAAGACTGTGTCGCCATTAAGTTAATGATGGCTTCTTGATGATTCAGGGTAAAAATAAGTGTTTTTCTGAGGTAGTGGTCACTTTACTTAAAGGGATTGTGCATGGGGAGGATGTCTCTGGAAAACACACTCCAGGGACTGCTGTGTTTACATGCATGTGTACGTGTGTGTATGTGCAGGGTGGGGGGGGATGTTTGTGTGCTGATTTGCAGCACGTGTTGGCGTGCATGCTCCTGTATGTGTGTGTGTGTGTGTGTGTGTGTCTGTCTGTCAGGTTTCCTGCTGCGCGGTGCGGCTGGGAGCCCTAGCGAGGGTAAAATTCCATTCTCTCGGCGGAGCAGCATTCTGCATGAGCCAATTCCCAGGAGACACTGCTCTGCATGTCCTCCAGACAGCCGAGCTGAGGCACAGGCTCAGGCTCGCTTATTAACTGACCTGAGGGGGGGCGGTGGTGGTGGGAGGTGGTGGTGGAGGAGGAGGAGGAGGAGGAAGGAGGGAGGGAAGGGAAGGAGAGGAGGAAGGGGAGGGGGGGCAGAGATGGAGAATGGAGGAGGAGGAGGAGGAGGAGGGGGGAGAGAGGAGGAGGGGGAGCCCAGGGAGGCAGGAGGAGGAGGAGGAGGAGGCGGTGGGTGAGGAGGGGGAGGTGGCGGTGTTGGGAATTATGGGTTTGTGTGTGCATGTGTGTGTGTGTGTGGGAGTGTGCGCGAGTCGGAGTGTGATCAGGGGTGATGGGTTGTGGGGATATGAGTGTGTGTGTATGTGTGCTTTCTTCAGCGCGCATGTGTGTGTGTGTGTGTGTGTGTGTGTGTGTGTTGAAGGCAGAACTGGTTGAAAATATTAACTCCTTGCTCGCTGAGCTGCTTTGCTGCAAAAATTCAGCATGAGAGAAGAAGAGTGTGGATGTCTAACAAGCTGGACTGTGTGTTTGTATCCTTGGATTCAACACAAGGACGTGTTAGCACCTTGTTAAAGCGGCTGCAGGCTTCACAAAAGCCTGGTTAATCACTTTGAATATGTATTTTCTCCTCAGCCCCACTCAGGAGTATGTATCTATCATTTATACAACTATTTTAAATCTTTTTCTTAAATCTGGGTCCCTATTCGGCAGCGATTCGCTCCATAACGGCTTCATGTCACGTCTCCCTGCCACCAGAGTTCAGGATATTGGCGCAAATATGATTTTAAACCCCACCTTTGCACACACAGACTATTTCAGAAATAGAACTAAAAGCCTCCTCTTCCTGCATTAATCTATTTACACTAATTCGTCATCCCTGTGTGCAAATATTAGTTTGTAGTTTTGTGTGTCTTCCCGTAATTGCTCAACAGGACTGTAAGACTCATTTGTCACCGGTATGAGGAAATAGCATAATTGAAAAGTGCTTTTCAATTACAATTTGTTTAACTTAAATAATGAAATAAAATATGGTGCTTCAAAGTTTTACTTCTTTTTTCTTTTTAAATTATTATTCCATCCAGCAGTGAAGAGGAAAGAGAGAGAGAGAGAGAGGGAGAGAGAGAGGGAAAAAATCACTCACGGCAAAATGCAAATGAGCCTGGAAGCTATTACGATGCTAATGAGATTCCACCATAGAAGTTGCTGCTCCGGCATCCGGGGTATATTTCATCCATATTTGGAAAACAATTGTGAGCACAAAATAGGAGACACACTTCCCGGTGTTCACAGTTGAGTTAGTTTTTACTTCAGGAAGCAGGAATCTTGTCAGGGTTAGATAGGAGAAGGTTTTACTTACTTACTTTTACTTAGCTGCAAATGAGACAGCCGTTGTGCTTTATTTGCAGATTTATTTGCAGTCTTTCCGTCGTGTTGCTCTGTGAATTCTGGTCTATTTTTAGCGCTTCCTCTGTCTCATCTTCACACGTCAATCTCCAGCAAAATCCTTGTTATTAAAATCACTATCAAACTCTTTCATAATCTTACATTCTGCATTTTGGCCCATGTTTCAGGGAGGGAAGGCAAATTACTGTTTACAGCAGCAGCAGCAGCTCAAACACAACTTTATTGTGAAACAGGATCCGAGACATGTGCTGGTACGCTCAGGTGTAAAACCTGTGGCACAGCTGCGAAGGTGTGCAGTTCGAGCACTAAATGCAGGTAGGATGGTAGGTAGGTAGGTAGGGAGATAGGATACGTTACCATAGTAACACCAAGAGGGAGCCCGGCAGAAGCAGAGTGTCTATATGTGTCCTGACCCATTTCCATTCTCATCCACAAGTGTTTTGTCTCCCTCACCTTGCTGTTTAACAACTAAAAGCACCTCTTCTTCATCCTTGATGCATTTTCTGCATTTAGCAAAATGGTCGAGGTTTGAAACATTCAGCCAATGCGTGGCGGATACAACAGCTCTCAAGGTACATTTGGTTTCCTATTCAGTTCAATTCAATTCAACTTTGTTGTCCCTGAGGGTAAAAAGAGCCCTGTGCGAGGAGGAATAAAACGCACATACATCAAAGTATGTAAAACAAAGTCGAGGAAAGTGAAGTCATGAATGAAGAACATTTTCATCTATTGAACGACGCTGAAGGAAGGACTCCTCCTACAAAGAGAACACAGACTAGAGTTAAACTAATTAATTGCTGCAAAATGAAAGACTTTCTCTGACTAATTTTGCTCTTAAGTGGACCAGACTTTCTGCAAAAGAAGGAGAAAAAAAACTCAAAATGTTGAGACAGAGCAGACCACACGCTCACCTGAGAGTTAAAATGAATCCTCTGGTTAGTTTAGTCGTTATTAACATGTAAAGCTGTGTGAATCGGCTGAGCAGCTATCTTAACACTGTGTTATATCGTACGTGACATACTGTTATCTGTCCTAGTTCAATTATTTTCTGCGCAATTATGGTAATAAACTTCACCTCTTTGTTGCCTTCGAACAACTAATGTAAGGCGGCTATGAAACACAATGAGAACGTACAACATCACTGCAAAAAAGAGAGATATAAAAAGGGTACAAAGTGAGGGAAACGCCGCACAAATCCCACAGATGAGGAGAAAATATTATTAAGAATAACACATTTCAAGGACAGCCTTGATAACCAGCGCAAAAATTAGACACTTTTTCTTTTAAAAACATTATAGAAAATAAAATATTCATCTAAAATAGTCATGCATCTATTTCTTCTTGGTTGGATCCCAGCAGGTCTCAGTTACGAGTCTCTTTCAAGGATTGTTTACAGAGTTTTGGGAGCGAGGAAGACCTCAGATGTAGGGAGTTGATGCACCGAACCTCTGTGGGGATCAAGAATCGACCGTTCGACCAGTCTAAACAGAACCACAGCCTCTCTACAAGAGGTGTCAACTCTACCAACCAGGGGTGTGTCCAGAGAAATGGTCAGAGGTGGCCCTGCCCCCCTTGAAATCTGATTGGCCACCCCCAAATCCTAAACTTTGATTGTCTTGTAGGAGGTGGAATTTATGTTTAAATTAAGTATTTTTTAAGTGGTAACAGGTTTATAGGCACTTTCTTTGTATTTAAATGTATGTGATTTTTTGTTAGTGTCTTCAATTTTGACTTTTGACAAACTTGTTTTTTAAAGCACTTAAAGAAAAAGATTTAGAAGCTTAATTTCCGAACACTTATTTGCATTTTTTGAAGTTCAAGAAAAAAATATTGAAATTCTTTTTTTTTTTTTTTCATTTGTTTGTGCACACATAAACCTTCCACCCCTGCCTGTGTCAGTGCCCCAGTTTGGCCACCCCAGTTCACAAAACATCCAGACATGCCACTACCATTGCCAACTGAGCTAAACTTGCACCTCTGCCTTGATAAGTCTCTAAAAAGACTCTACATTTGGTCCAAAATCCTGCAGCACATACATTGATAAAAACTAGAAAATCCAGTTTTAGACATCATACATCTTCTATTAGCTTCTCTGTGCAGGCTTTCTATAAAATCTTGGGTGGAATTTGAAATCCTCATCTCACCTGTAATGCTCCTGATAGTCAGACACTACCATATCTTACAGAGCTCATAGTGGCCCATTACCTCTCTAGAACATTATGCTCACACAATGCAAGCCTGCTTATGGTGTCTGCAAAAAGTCTGCAAAAAGTAGAGTGAGAGGAGGATCCTTTAACTACCGGGCAACATCTGCAGCGATTATCATCATCAGTGTTAGTCATAACATCAGTAATTGCACATGTTAGTTTTAATACTATACTTAATTTAACTATCATTTTCTGTAATATCTGCACTTTTCTGTCATTGTGTGTCCCTTTATCACAGTTTTATAATCCGTTCAGTCTCATCACTGTTTCCAAGTGTTGAAAACTGTTTCCTCATTTACCGTATAAGAAGTCCAGACCTGCTCTTTGTGTGCAGTGTCCTAAGATATTTTTTACTTATAATAAAGAAAAGAATCGATTAATTAATTGATTGGTTAACTGGTTAATTAGTTATGAATAAAACCATGAAATGAAAAAATAGGACTCACCAGCATTAAAAAATTGCGATTGCCCCTCCTAGGAGAGCCAAATAAGAGAAAATGTTCAAACTGAAGCATATGCACCCAGTACCAATCATTAAACCATTTATAAAAAGAAAAACATTGCAAACATTTAAAAACATTCAACAATAGGGCAGGGAGATAACAAATGTAATAAATAAAGCAAATGAGACTGATTTAATTGCACAGTCAAGGGTCAGAGAAGTTTGGTGTTGAAAAGTGCGTTATTCTTTTGTAACTTTGGCAGCTGCCTCATGCCGGTGATTAATAAAATTTTATGAACGATCACAGAATTTAAAACGTGCTGTCGGCGTCCACAGCGAAGTCAAGAAATACAAGTATGGCTACGCTTAAGAAAACTGAGATGATCGTTTTCTGAAGAATCATTCATGGTCAAAGTGAACATGAAAAATCAAAGCTGATGAACGACCATTAAGAGGGACAAGTGTCCAGCTCTGGCTACTACTTAAATTAACTTACAGCAAAACTATGCTAACATGTCAGGTAACATGCAGGGATGTAAGACAAGCAACTAAAGCAGCTTGCTTATAGTTAAATAATAAAACAGGTCTGACCTTTATGAAAATAGTCTTTGAAATGTGCAGCAGACAAAGACAAACAGATGTAGACGGAGGGAAACAAAATGACTTATGCAAAACTGAATAAAACAACGAGCCTTCAGTGAGTTAGATGGGATCATTTTCTGCATTTTTTACTTTAATTGGAGTTTTGTAAAATTGAATTCAACATGGCTGTCTTTTGTATGTAAATAGTACCCATAATCCCAGTTTTTACAGTGTAACTAGCAATTAGTTGCATTTTTCACATGTTTGAAATCCCATTACTTTAAATTATGAAATATTTTAAAGTCCATTTTAACAATATAAAGCAAGTCTACCAGTGTCTCTGTTTGGAGAGTAAATAAATATCTTCAAATAAATGCTGTACTGCAACACCAGTGTGGTCTGAACTGCATAGGGATTGACACATAAGCGTTGCCAGCCCTACTTTTTTTTGTTTTGGGTTATTTAAGTGTGTCTGTACAAGTGTGAAGCAAGAGCTAGATCTTCTTTATTGATTTGTACTACAGCAAAAGTAGAACAGAGTTTAAATCTGTAGTTTTGTGTCAACATTGTACGAACAGTCGAAATAAAAAGAGTGAGGAAA